TCAGGATTGGAATTTTTCTATTTGTTTCTGAAATCTCGCGGCTTCAACATGACGAATTTTCAATACATTTGGAATCTCGCGGCTCGATATCGCACTTTTGTTAACATTTGGATAGGAGGTAATTCATCTGACGGAAATCTCGCGGTTTCAGAAATGGCGGGAAACCTCTAGTTGCGGCCCTAAAGGCAGATGTTTTCAATGCTTGGATGATGAGACTGATGAGTGATGAGAGTAGGGTAAACGCGGTATATTCCGACATTGTGGGTAATTCCGTCACCTCTCTAGTCTTTCCTTTATATTAAGCTTTGTTTCAGTTCCATGCGTTCGTTGATGGTTGAAATGGTGACATCATACATTTGCGCGTTGAACTATTGGTGCCAAAACACTAGGTCTTGGCCATCTAGCGGGAAAATATTGAAATCCAAAGAGAGACAATGCACGCTACCCAGCAAGATCATCAAAAAATGTGTCACAGTTGACCTTGCTCTACCAAATAGTGAATAACTGTTTGTTTAGGAAGAATATTATGGTTTGAGACTTTTAAATACGTCTGTGAATATATTAGGAATCCTTAATCCTTTAAGTATACTTGTATTTGCTGATTTCAAGTGGTAAATAAATTAATAGATGATTAAGTTGAGAAATGGATTTAGACACATGAAACTAATTCCGTCACAACTTGAATTGGACACGCACAGATCGTTCCAAGCTAGGGTAAACGCGGTATATTCCGACATTGTAGGTAATTCCGTCACTTCTCTAGTTTTTCCTTTATATTAAGCTTTGTTTTAGTTCCATGCGTTCATTGATGGTTGAAATGGTGACGTCATACATTTGCGTGTCGAAATACTGCAAAAACACTAGGTCTTGGCCATCTAGTGGGAAAATATTGAGATCTAAAGAGAGACAATGCATGCCACGTGGTGAGATCATCGAAAAATGTGTCAAATTTGACAGTTGACATGGCTCTACCAAATAGTGAATAACTGTTTTTATGGGAAGAATATTATGGTTTGAGACTTTTAAATACGTCTGTGAATATATTAGGAATCCTTTAAGTATACTTGTATTCGCTGATTTCAAGTCATAAATAAATTAATAGATGATCAAGTTGAGATGTTGGATTTTGACACATGAAAACTAATTCCGACAACTTGGATTGGACACACACAGATCGTTCAAAGCTTTGTACAAAAATTGAAATTTGCTTAATTAAAAGCCTAATAGCTGTTAATTAAAACGTAATTAAGTAGTGTTCAATATTCGTTAGTGTAAAATATGGCAACATTTTGTGACGTTTCATCGTTGCTGACGCGTAGTGAAGTGTTTTGAGTCATGTGAAGGCAACAGAACTTACGTAACGCATACGGTTTTTTTTTATAGTTTTTCATTTCTCGATGCGTCCTTAAAGTGTCGCAATATACCGCGTTTACCCTATGTACAAAAATTAAAATTTGCCTAATTAAAAGCTTAATAGTTGTTAAATAAAAGCGTAATTAAGTAGTGTTCAATTTTCATTAGTGTTCTAAATTCTAATTCAAAGCCGTGTTGTATTCCAATACAGCTCACACAGCGAACGGAATTCGAACACGTGGATGACGGCATTACGTTTCAGTAGAATTTGAAGCGCGGACGGAATACGCCTCACCACGTGCCAAATATTGCCACACAGTGTTGGAATATAGGGATTTGGTAGGTTTGCATTCTTAAGGCTTTTAAATAAATATGGCAACATTTTGTGACGTTTCATCATTGTTGGCGCATAGTACGGTGTTTTGCGAGTCACTTAAAGCAAACAGAACTTGAGTAACGCATACGGTTATTTTTTTATAGTTTTTCATTTCTCAATGCGTCCTTACTGTGTCGGAATATACCGCGTTTACTCTAGCCTGAGTAGTCACTAGTCAGAGTAGGTATTGATAGAATTGATAGCAAGCTAAGGTAGAAACGTAGAATTGATTGCAAGCTTGGGTATTTTTGGTCTCATTGCCTACTTATAATATTCGGCAAAAGTTTAAGGGGGTTTAAGATAACATTTTATGGGTGACTTTGAAAAATTGCTTGTGAAAATGGGTCCTTTTTCATTTAAGAATTAAGAGAAGGCCCTAGAATTGGTAAAAATTTTTGTTAGTTTCAGGAGCATTTTCACTGATTCATGGGCAGTTTCTGCCCAATTTTCCACTTGGGTCTCATTCTTTGGCATAGTGACGAAGCAGAGAATTTTCTAGATTCTTACAACAGATCATTTGAGTCCAGAGTGCAGAAAGTAAATGAATATCAAGAGGTAGGGTAAACGCGGTATATTCCGACATTGTGGGTAATTCCGACCCCTAGTATTTCCTTAATATAAAGCTTTGTTTTAGTTCCATGCGTTCATTGATGGTTGAAATAGTGACGACACACATTTGCGCGTCAAACTACTGCCAAAACACTAGGTCTGGGCCATCTAGCAGGAAATTGTTGAGATCCAAAAAGAGACGGTGCATGCCACCAATGAGATCATTGAAAAATGTGTCAAAGTTGACAGTTGACATTGCTCTACCAAATAGTGATAAACTGTTTGTGTAGAAAGAATATTGTGGTTTGAGACTTTGAAATACATCTGTGAATATATTAGGAATCCTTTACGTATACCTACTTGTATTTGTTGATTTCAAGTGGTAAATAAATTAATAGATGATTAAGTTGAGAAACACATTTAGACACATATAAACTAATTCCGACACAACTTGAATTGGACACACACAGCTCGTTCCAAGCTGTGTGCAAAAATTAAAATTTTCTTAATTAAAAGCTTAATAACTGTTAATTAAAAGCCTAATTAAGTAGGTAGTGCTCAATATTCAATAGTGTTCTAATTCGAAGCCATGTCATATTCCAATACAGCTCACATCAATCAATGGTAAATAAATTCTAAACATAGTCACATCCACTGCACACTAGTGCATATCATTATATACGTTGAAATTACTCTGGAAGTTTCACGTCTTGAATAGTAATAGTTGTTGAATAGTAACATTTGGAGATAAAATTACTGTGAATTTAAAAGCAAAGAAAATAGCCAAAAATTTCACCATTTCTTATAAGAGAAAACGTTTCGGAGTCCAGCTCCATCGTCAGTTCAAAACCTAGACGGTTTTGAACTGACGTTCTTTTCCTTACTTTGGCCCCGCATCTGAAATGATGGCGAAGGAGTTGAAAGATCTATTCTCTAAATACCTCCCAAATGTAAATCTTAATGTATTGCTAGTGAACAATTTTAAAATTAGCTCGTTTTTCAAGTACAAAGATCCTCTCCCTGTTCTTATGCGATCATCCCAAGTTTATCAATATAGTTGTGCGAGCGATCATCCCTAGTTTATCAATATAGTTGTGCGCAGTGCGCATCTGCGTATGTCGGTATGACATCGCGCAATTTTTATACTAGGCTTGCAGAGCATAGGGGCAGGAGTTATAGAACAGGGAACATACTTGCGCATCCCCCTCATTCAGCCGTACGTATTCATGCCGAGCAGTGCAACGTCCTGGTGTCCAATAGTGATTTTAGAGTTTAAGCCTCCACAACCGGTGTTTCTGACCTACGAATTTTAGAATCATTATATATTTTTAAACAGAAACCCAGTTTAAATACTGCATTCAGTTCCTATCCTCTACAAATTGTAAATAGATAGTACTTTCTCTACATGTCATCTCATTTTTATTTCTGTTATCTTCGATTTTAGTTCTAATGTCCTCATGTTTAGGTGAATTGTTTGAATGTGAATTTTGGGTTACTAATTGCTTGTACCTGTGTTCTAGGTTTTGAACTGACGATGGAGCTGGACTCCGAAACGTTTTCTCTTATAAGAAATGGTGAAATTTTTGGCTATTTTCTTAGCTTTTAAATTCCTGGTAAATTTGCGACTTAAGCAGCCAAGTGATTTTAATACTAAAATTACTGTAATCTGGCTGTAAATTTGTTAATTTAAAAAGTGGATTTAGATTTGGAGAATGTTCATCTGAGAATCAAATTCTTTCTGGGATGTCAGGATGGTTTGGGAGACAAACTGGCTTCTAGTCCATATTTTTGTTCCATAAACAAATTATTTCACTTGATCACATGTCAGAAAGATCTTTGAGCATCTCGTTTTGGAGATTTCAGTTGAAAAAATAGTGTACTAATCCTGATGTTGCATTTTGTAGGTATCATAAACAGAAGGTCTCCTATGTTATCCCTGTGTTTGTTGATAATTGGAATGTAACCTTTCCTCAGACCATGTCTTCATCCCAGTTAAAATTCTTTAGGCTCTGTAAGAGTCTTAATCTGACAAGAAACTACCAGGTGCTGCAAACTCCTAGTGGATGGCGGCACTTTAGTTCTCTGGGTAAGATTTTACTCCAGTAATTATAGCGTAATAAGGATGCAGTGTTCTAACAACATAAAGCTTCTTTAGTAAGATTTTGTAATAGATTAGTAATAATGCATCAACAATAAAGGTAAATATGGAAACTAATTAGACCTGAAAATCGATTTATTTTATATAAACTTTTAGATGAACTGATCTAACACCATCAACAGCTATCTCAACTCTGTCCCATTCTTTTCAGGAAAACAGATTCTGAAACCAGTTGTGGATTCTAATGATTCTCAGAGCAAGGAGAGAACTTCTGGAACAAATTTTCATAATGACAATCGTAAGTTGAATATTTTCATAATAGTAATTTTGTTTATTGGCACATCTCTCCATTAATTTATATGGAAACAAAAATATTGGTGGCCATTTTTTATATGCTAGCATCCTGCCAAGACCCTGAGGTCAGCAGTGAAAGAATTTTTTTAATTACTGATCAATTGGCATATATTCATTTGTCGATATCCTTAGTTCCAATAGCATTACTCTTACTCCACAATTTCACTGTTGGTATAATAAACCTGAAAGGATGTATAAATTTCCTAAGCCTTGAATGTATACTTTTTCTTGAATATGCTATAAATTTGTCTCACTTAGCTCAGTCAAGATTTCAAAGTTTGCAATAATAAGTATTAACTGTAACATTTGACTTCCCGTGCAGCGGGAATTCCAACTATACATCTGAAGCCATTTCAGAAACGCTATCTCCTCCTAGCTTTAAAACACAAGTCAATCCATGAAATTCCCGATGAACTATCGTAAGTAACGAGGGTAATCGTTCGACCAAGAAATGTAGTCAAATCGTGAATACTTTCATTTTTAACTTGACACATTTATAATCTTATTACATGTTGAGATGAAATGGCAGTGGCATGTACTTGTGAAAATGTACAGTTCTCTTAAAATGAAATGAGATTAAAATTCAGAGGCGTTGTCAATACAGTTGCATTTGATTATGATGGCAAACTCTAACTACTGTGTTATAAACCCACAGGGTAGCGCAGATCAACACTCTGTACGTGCGAGCGAGAATCACCCTGAATCTGATACTGGCGGGCTGCGTGCTGATTTTGTGTGTCATCACTGTATCTCTTGGCAAGAGCGACTCCGAAAAGGGAGTAACTATCGAAAAAATCAACCTCGATTGGCACCAAAAGATCAAAGCAGATAATGCGAATGAACAAGAGCAATCCAAAGCTGGTAGACCTGCTGAGGGTTGATGTCAGTATCCCCACAAACTCTTGTGCATAGAATGCTTGCAGATCAATGAACTTGCCATTCAAAAAACCTATATATATTTATAATACGAGTGTTGATTGCTAAAATTTTAATATTGTAAGTATGCGTGCATTTCACAGTTGATCTATGGGATATGCTCGTCGATATACCGTCGGCTTTCGTGTAATATATTTTGTCATTGGCTACAAATATTACGCTGTAGGCCTCTCATAATTAAGTGAAAATTACCCGTGTCTTATTGATGCACTACTGTCGTAATGAACAGAATGTGTAGATTTTAAATAAATGAACTTGGGACACTCTTTGTTTGCGTTGATGGAAATTACTGTATAATCGAATTTTGCATTAAAGAACCTTACAACGATCATGTTCGTTTTGTTGAATCGTCTCTAGAATACGATTTCACTGATGAACGTTTGAACTTTCATCGAATTGATTGCCTGTAAACCCTAGTGATTACAGTTCACAGATCCAGACTTGAAGCATTGAGCCATCGATTAGATCCCAGCTTCCTATGGCAGTTCTGATCGAAATCGATGAGGCAGCCAGGCGATCAAGCGTAATGAATTTCGGTACAGTAGGTTGAGTGTTGAAAGGCCCGCAATGATCTCTTGAGTTCTGCGACAGGGGAAATGACCTAATCTTCAACTTCCACTATTGAATTTAGGGTGCGAGTTCATGAAGTGATTTGGATTCAAAATGAATTGCGGTGATCCGTAGACAACGCCGGGAGATTGATTCACTCTAACGCGTGAAATCTAATCCGAACCACCCAACAACCCATTGTTTGGGCTGAAGGATTAGGTTAGTCTCCATCAGCTCCACAGACTAAAATTTTCATTTGAACGATTGCTGTACGACGTAATTTTACTTAAATCTTCCACTGAATCAAGTTAGTGTTGAGGAAAACTCAACATGCACTCTTGAATAATTGCAGGTATTTTAATTATAGTCTTAATATTCATAGAATTTATTAAATAAGCCTTGAACAAGAATTGAAGTAACATCGAAATTTTCACACACACCTAGTCAGTAAATCCGGCTTACGATAACCTATTAGGCCATAAGCTGGGCATTGGAATAGTCGTGAACGCTTCCTTTGAGCGCCGCCTCCAATCTTCTGACGGGACGCGCATCTGGCGACTCTTGAGAGTCGTCGGCTGAACCATAGCCTCCTCCTCCTGGAGTCTCTAGCCGGAATGTGTCCTGCAAGACAATGTTAGGCAACTTAAATAGTGGGTCATTCGGGCTAGTGTTACAAGCTGGTTTCTCCCTCACAAGTTGGTGAAGTTAATTAACTTTTGCAGATCATCCACACTTTGGGTTGCCTCGTATAATTTTTGCACAGTTTCAATGTAATATTAACTAATGTTGTTCAAATAAAAACTAATCCACAAAACTCGTATGCAATAAACTTACTTATTCTTTTATCTTGGATTAATTATATCTTCCTAATCAATTTCACCAGATTTTACCTTAGAAACTAATTGAAAATTCAGATACGGTATCAGAACGAAGCCACAGCTAGACAAGAATGTACGCACTTCAGGCTCGACCAGCACAGAGCTCTTGGACGGCAGCCTGATGGTGCGGCCGCCGCGTTTCACGAGAATGTTTTGGCCGCGTCTGCCACAGCCTCCGCCACGTAGTCCGTATGGACAGAACACGCGACGCTCCGTCAACAGCGATAGCGTCAACTGCTTCCTGAACTGCAGCTCACGCACCACACCATCTCCTCCTCTGCGTTTAACAGACGTGTGTTGGATTAGAACTCTGCCATGTTGATACCAGTTGAAACCTCGGCGAATATTCAAGACATTTTAATGAAAATTAAATGCCTTATTCTATCTGATGAATGAAACCTACCGGTATCTTCCTCTTCCTCCGGTGCCGCGGTTTACAGTGAAGGTTTTTAGATAAATAGGATATCGGATTTCCAAAATTTCTGGGTCGGTGATGCGCGTGTTTGTCATGTGGGTGTGCACACCGCTGCGCCCATGCCAGTTTGGGCCCTGAAAATCAAAATTATTGTTGACGATTTACGATACTTGAAAAATACATAGCTGCAGTGCAGGTAAGCGGTAGAGGGTCGATAAAAAATTCAATGTAGGGTTGGAAATCTAAGAAATTTGCGGAAAAATTTGAAAGTGTTTGAAGAATAATAATAGCAAGATTCTAATAAAAGGATAGCAACAGGAAAATTAATTACTGTAAGACGTAAAAGCGCGGAAGTTTTCTCTCCTGTATTTGCAGAAATCTACTTTCTCTATCGATAATATGCATATATTGAAAGCTAATCTGCATTCGCAAACGTATATTTATGCTGAAACTCGTGCAAATACTAAAAAGCAAGTTTTGGAAATTATATCGTGTCATAGGCCCCGTTCATAGGTCGCACACGAGGGTGCTGACTCACCGCTCCCGCTCCCCCAGCCACGGTCTCGTAGTAGCCAATGGTGTCGTCCCCGAAGGTGATGTTGTTCATGCAGCCCTGGGACGCCGCACACGCACCGAATGCTCTAGGTAAACAAGCCTGCGTCAGTGTCGTCACAAGTTACGGACGGTTAAGTTCAGTTATCTTGTTTTCATTTAGCATCATCAAAACTGAGATCTTTATCCAAAAGAAAATGATAGATGAAATATATAGAGTATTAGCTGTCCGTTTCCTTCAAAATATACTTAGAATTTTTATTAAGATAGCTTCACACCAAACTGCCGGGCATGTGCCAGGTTTATGCCGGCCAAGTTCCGTTCCCCGTCAGGTGCAATCACATGTTCAGTCCGTCACTTTAGTGACATCTGGTATTCTGGTATGTCGATAAAAATATCAGAATACCAGAAGCTGTAAGATCTGGTATCGAACCTATTTTAACCTACAGGTCGATTTTACAACTAAGTTAATGATTATCTTAGAAAACGCAAAAACACATCTAAGATAATCTTTTATTATCTTTAACCTGTTATAGAGTCTACGCAGGTTAGGTTGAGTTAGGAAAAAGATTAACTCGCGATCTACCTTAAAGATAACGGAACCAAACCTAGCTGAACCTAACCTGCGAGGATAGAGAAACTTTTTTATTTCTATCTTAACCGGATTATCTTAACGTTTTCCCATTATCTTAAATAGGTTCGTTTTCTGGTGGGAATAGGGTCGAAAGCTATAAAAGCTGTGGTACTGTGGTGGGAACGAATCCCGTACTTCACATAGGTCACAGGCCGTTCTCGATCACTTCAGTTCCTTTCGAACCGATTCAGTCCCGGTCAAAATATCCTGTGCCTTAATCGTGACTGGACCTTGCCTGGCTTTGCAATTGCAGGTGCCAAGCACTGCTAGCATGAATGCTCTTTCGAAATGCATTAAATAATATTGGACTGGACCTTGACTGACATATGCCTGGCAGTGTGGTGTGAACCAAGCCTTACTCGTACTTAAAACTGATATTTAAAATTCAGAACGTATAAAAGCAGGCCTTAACAACTCTTGTTATTCAGAAAAGCCTCACGTAAATAGGCGTCAATATAAATATTACAGCTTTCATGATCAGTAACAAACTTTAGAAGTACGTCCACCACTCGCTGGGACGTCTGGACGTTTCCGCCCACAACGGCGGCTTCAGGGGACGGTTGTAAGATGCAACCGTCCTTAATTTTGATGGTGATGGGTGCCAGACAACCTTGGTTGAGGGGCGTGTCGTGCCCAACCATACAGCGCAGGCAGTAGATCACCGCAGACACGGTCACTGCACGCGGGGCGTTGCAGTTCCCCCACACCTCTATACCGGTGCCACTGAACGGACAAGCCATCAAAGCTATACTTCAGATTCAGGAATGCAATATTTTTCCGTATAAGCGAAAATCGCATTATTAAATGTATCTGGCAATATTTATTTCATTCTAATGCGGTATTGATGCTCGTTGGACAAAATTTTAGAAATTAAATGTACAGTTGTACACATCAGTCTATTGCTCAGGTTGGCTCACGAGATCTGTTAAGTGGATCGTTTGCTTCGAATATTAAATCGAAAAACCGTTGCTGTTCTGATGTGTTCTATTAAAATAAGCACTGAGATTGAGACTGCTTATGAAACTTGTTAAAATCTTTCATGTTCGTTTGAATATAGTTCCTCAGTTTCCATCCACTAAATTGAGTGTCAACACAGTACTACAGATCAGATTTTCACCATCTCTGAACGATTTGCAAAATTATGCTTACAGTTAAAAAGCCCTCAAGAAGCAGGATAATGCAAGCTAATTATTAATAGCTGAACCATAAATACTCGAGATTCTTGAGCAAAATCATTCTATTACATGGCCTGACAGACTTCCGCTGCCGATTACAGACACCTTAAAGTATAGAAAAACAATAATATTTTCTACAATATATACATCATATAGAAAAAATTGTTAATCGTTTTCTCCAAATGCAATAAAATCACGCACTCGAAGTCAATTACAGCTGTGCCTTGCTTCGGGTCGATGGTGATCGTGACAACGATGGGCGTTCCGTCGTCCATGTATTCTGTGGCGCTCAGTGTAGCCTTGCCGTCATCGCCGGCGTGGCGCTCACCGACCTGCAGTGTAGGGAACCGCCATCACAGATTGGCTCACACAAAAGAGATGACCTCTAATATATGGCTTTTTGGACATAATTTTGTCAAAGAAAAAATACATCGAGAAATACATTACCTCCGATCAACTTTAAGAGCAAATGAATTTGATATGACCGCTCGAATCGTGGCGTTCATGTTTGGTATTCTCAATGTAAATTGATTTACATGCCGCTAACCTTTATTAGAGCAAATTTTTTTAAGAATTCTATCTAAAATTTGATAGTTTATTGATAGCAAATAGCAATATTTTTCGGCATATAAACATAATATGAGTAAAAATAACAGTGATTTGAACCTTTGAAATATTCTATGGATAGACATGCTTCCCTGCATATGGTTAAGGGTGACTAAATGAATATCACTTTATTTACACAAGTTACCTCTCGAAGAAGATGTCTGACAGCCATTTCAGCGCTGGTCTGAATGTGCCCCATATACGCCTGCACGACTTTCAGGCCGTACTGTTCAATGAGCTCATTAACGAGTTGGATGCCTTTACGGTTCGCAGCAATTTGTGCCTTCAGGTCTGATATGTTGTCTTCAAGATTACGAGTTCCCGATGATCCAGGGATCTTTCCCGGAGCCATGAGCACTTTCTTTAATTCAGCCTCTTGAAAGACTTTTCGTTTGACGAGCTTGAATGAGTAGAAAACAGCGCCTTCCTCGTGGATGGATGTGGAATGTGGAGGCATCGAGCCGGGGGTGATCCCGCCAATGTCTGCGTGATGGCCTCTGCTGGCCACGTAGAATATCGGCTTTTCCCTTTCCCTGGAAAATTGAAATTTTCGCCATTATTTGCCAAATATTGCAAATTCAAAGGATTTAAAGCTGCACATGTTTACAACGGACAGCACATGCAAATTCTGCATCAGTCGGCAACAAGTAAAATCTGCCCGTAAAGGACATTTCTGTCACACGCAGACTGTGTCCGCAAGAGACACTTACCTGCAAGAGACACCTATCTGCAAGAGACACCTATCTGCAAGAGACACCTATCTGCAAGAGACACCTATCTGCAAGAGACACCTATCTGCAAGAGACACTTGTCATCAGTCACTTGTTAAAGACGGGCGTGATGACGGTGAGGTCAGGTAGGTGGGAGCCACCAGCCGCCGGGTGGTTGCTCAGGAGGACGTCGCCATCTTCGAGATCATCGCCCAACTCCCGCAACTGCGTGCATCATAATATTCTAAATTCTACCCATTGAATCCCTTCAAACATAATTTAGTTCATTATTGCTTAATGATCCATTTTCAAATTTACTATCTGCAGCTGCGTCTTAGTTTCACTACTACAATTAGAATTACGATGTCATTATATTTAATTATGAGTCGCACCGGCTTCTAGATAAACTTCATTGATGTTCTAGCTTTTTCGGTTGTTGAGAGAGGGAATACAACACAAGGCATATCCTATCACTGTATAGTAAAGATTATCAGAACGACGAGTGTATACAGAAATCCTTCTAGTGAAATAAAAATAATTTTACTCATTATTATCGAGATGCCGTAAGCACTGCAACTTTAAATATTATGTTACTTGGCATTATGAGATGGATCTGCGATAACATCGATTTACCAGTCGCAACAATTTAAACTTTAGACAACTGTACATCAGTATGTTTACTTGCTTTAAAGCTCAACCATTAATTAATACCTGGTACTGCACCGTCTCTTGCATGGCCCCCAAATGGACAGGAATGTGGGGTGCGTTCGAGACCAAGCCTCCGTCAGGACCAAAGACGGCACAAGAGAAGTCGAGTCTCTCTTTGATGTTCGTGGATATGGACGTGCGCTGTAGTACTCTGAATAGATAGCCGTCATGTAAACCATCAATACATAATGTAGAGATGGCAAATGAACTTTGCGATGTATAACAAGTATGTTCTTTAAATCTCAAGTGTACCGGGTCGATATCAAATTAAATATACGAGCATAAATAAATGATTTTAATTTTTTGGACGCGAGGGAACCGGTGATGGAGCTTGGTGGAGGACGAGTAAAGAAATTAAAATACACTATCATTTAAATTAAAAAATAAGTAGATATATAATTGATCAAAACTAATCCCCACCGGCCCATTTGTTCAGCAAGGCTCATGAATCGGTGCGAGAAGATTGACAGTTGGATGGGGTCGAGTTTAGTCGCAAGTTTGTTGTTGTTGGCGGTCGCAGTGCCAATTTCTATGAGGATGTTGCCACCGTCCGTCACCTCGCCTTGGCAGGCTGATACAAAAATAAATGCTATGTACTCTTCATATTACTGCTAGAGATTTAATTCTACAGTACGTGCCACAGTATTACCTTTCATCGTGAAGGACTTGTTCAACCCTGTGTTATTTCATATCAAGGAGGCAGTTTGTCCGAGTATCTAATCAGATTCGTTCAGACGTGAAAGAATGAAAAGATTTATGTGGGAATCAAAAGCATCTTTTTTCATGTCCTTTTTGTGCTTTGCCGCTTTATCCGCTAGTTCAGACGAGCTACAACAAATTATCCATCACTGGGACATAACAATAAAAGTTTCATTAAACCTACTAAGATTCTCGAGAATGGGATGAATAGGATGAATATGCACCTTTAGTGCATAACGCACATCTTAAAAATCATGGCGACCTGACAACAATATCTTTAAGGCGAGACACTATTACTGCCTAACGAGTTCTAAAAAAACTAGAAAATTCTTCAGTTATCAGGAACTCTATTCCATATCATCACTAAAGGCCAGGCACTTAAAGCCTAACGGTTATGTAAAGAAATCTCTCGATTCACTTAATTCATTATTTATCAATTTCCTGAAGGTCAGGCACGTACCCGGCTCAACGAGGACCGTGCTGAGGTGGACAAGTACCACGGCGGCATATTTGAAATTAATTGAAATTGTATTCACATTTTCACGAATGACCAGGCACGCACCAGGCTCTACGAGTATCGTGCTGAGTATCATTACAGGCCAGGCACGCACCAGGCTCTATGAGTATCGTGCTGAGTATCATTACAGGCCAGGCACGCACCAGGCTCTATGAGTATCGTGCTGAGGTTGTCCAGCACCACGGCAGGCCCCGGCAGGAGGTGTCCAGCGCGCAGGTCTTCCAGGCGGTACACGGGCGTCTGGTACATGCCCTCCTCCAGGTACACGGGGCTCACCTGCCATATTTCAACGGCAGTTGCAATTATTTCTGAGTACCGATTAGAGATATTAAATTTCATTTATGATGATGTTAGACATCAGCCGATAATCAAGTGCCTTAAAACATTTCCAGGTCCGGTTGCCTCCATCTTACCGTTCGCAGTTATGCAATTATCGGGCAATATCGAGCAAAAATATCTGGCAAAAATCATCAAAATTTTACGAAATTACATTAAACATTATTTCTTTTTAACGTGAACCTATATAAGAAAAATCAACGTACTTGTAAAGGTTGCGGTGGGCTTGCGGCGCTAGCGACTGTTTGGCGGCACTGGATGCCTGACGCGGCCACACCGCGCACTCGTACGTCGTCCACCAAGATGGCGCGACCTTTCAACACGAAACCGAACTCCCGGTAGTACCTGCCAAATTCGTTACATAATACTACATTTTCTCATTTTTGGACAATTTATCAAGTGATTATTCTTACAGGATAAGGCAGCTAACGTCCGCTCTGCATCGTACAAGATCATTTCGAAAATCCCCAAAATGTAAATATTACTCCTGAAAAAATGAAATTCAAGAAGTGGTAAAGTGAAATTATATTTAATCAAAGAAACAGCCAATTCTCATCGCATAACACATTGTTACTTTGATTCTAGACTAGCCTTTCAGTGAACGACTGAGTTCAGACTTGCCTTTCAAGAAATGACTTCATGAAGCGTCCATAGCCCTCAATACCGTTGCCTTCATCAATGTCTTGTTCGTCTTCGGCAGAAACGTGAGACTTCTCTTCACTGCTACTAGACTCCCTGAGATTGTAGACGAGATTTTTTCAATAAAATTTCACTTTAGATTATACCTATTGAAGTTATTTTTGATAGATTGTAAACAGCGATGTATGCTTTTTAACCATTACTAGCAATTCAAAGATGCTTCTCGATGAAACTTCAGAAGACTCTAGATCAGTTCAGAGTATAAGAATAGCGGCACGCACTATAAAAAATCTATACACTAGACAATTATGGGAGCGAAATCCCATAAATTTTCGCAAATATTCATATTAACTGAAATGTTGTGCATTATTTACGAATAGTTCGGCAACAATGAGAGAAATTATAAAAAGTAAGAAAATTTGAATGGAGATTTAAAAATATCTAACTCAGGGAAATAAATTTGGTACATGCATGTCAAAGAAAATAAAAATAATATAAACTAAAACAAAGCAGTAAAAGGAAAATCTCCCAGCACTCTTCAAAGCGGGTTATTTTTTTTTTAATAAACAAAATAAATCATACATTTTTATAAAAAGAATAAAAATCTAATGTACCCGGTCACTGCGACGTCTTGGGCACCAGATGCTGCTGCTGCTGGGGGGCACATGAGTGCGCAGTCTGTGCCTTTATAGCGCAGGTGCAGGAACGTCTCGACCCTCACGCTGCTCGCTGGGAAGCCTTCACTAACCAACTTCCTGCGACACTCTTCTTCTAGCTCCTGCAGCCGCTGCCTCAAATGCTCGAAATTTTCTGATATGGAAAATTAATTATCCACGTAAATTAATAGACATTGATAAAATCGTTTCTAAAGAATTTATATTATCATTCGTTTGCTGAAATCGCAGGTTCACCATGAATATAGAAGCAAAGAAAACGTCAAGATTTACCAAATCTCAGACGAAAACGCTACATGGTGTTTTCTTTGCTTTTAAATTCTTGGTGAATCTTATCCCCTGTCCCAGGGCTTCTTCAGGTCAATAATATTAATGTTATGCTTTAGAACAATTTTCTAGGTTTCAGCTGTTTACATTGCACATGGTCTTACAAAATTCATGTTTTTTTCAACCTCCATTCTAAACATAAGTCTACGTAAATAATCGTCGAAGAAATAAATAATCGGCGAAGAAATAAATAATCGTCGAAGAAATAAATAATCGTCGAAGAAATCAATAATCGTCTAAGAAATAAATAATCGTCGAAGAAATAAATAATCGTCGAAGAAATAAATAATCGGCGAAGAAATAAATAATCGGCGAAGAAATAAATAATCGTCGAAGAAATAAATAATCGTCGAAGAACTAAATAATCGTCGAAGAAATAAATAATCGTCTAAGAAATAAATAATCGTCGAAGAAATAAATAATCGTCGAAGAAATAAATAATCGTCGAAGAAATGTAACTTACGAGGCTCGTATATCTTGGCGCACGGCACTTGCATGTCGTGCACAGTGTCGGCGAGCGCGAGGCCGTACGCGGACAAGATGCCGGCGTAGCGGTGGATGAAGACGCGTCGCATGCCCAGGCTGCGTGCGATGGCGCATGCGTGTTGCCCACCAGCACCACCAAACACTGAGAGCACGTGGCGGCTCGTGTCGTGGCCCTTGGCCTGAAATATTGTATAAATATTATGTAAATATTTGTTAGACTAATTTATTAATAGATCTTGATTAATTATTTATTATATATTATTAATTGACAGAGCGCAAGTACTGGTCAGCAAACCCTACGGTATGGATTAGATAGGGATCTATACACTAAAATTTGTGCCAAGTTTGACAATATTATCTTCTGGCAGTTCTTTACATTTTTCCATTGAAAAATGTTCATTCGAATTTATTAGAAAAATTGTTTATTAGAATTAACACCTATTTCACAATTTACCCAAGTAAATAGTTACCTGTATCAATTTTTTAACACCCACACCTAGCTGTTAGAATTCTGCAAGGCCTGAAACCAGCGAGGCCTTACAAAGCCTAGTCCAAACGCTGAAACCACTATATTATAATACCAAGACAATAAAATTATTTCACATAACCTCAGCCGACGCAGTCATCTGCGGCTAACTTTCCGATCAGGAGTTTTACTTTACATAAGCACAAGGATACTCTTATTCATGGCGAATTCCCGCCTCTGTGGAATCCATGACGAGATTTTACCCGCCGTAAGTAAAATAAAGCTCGTAAATTATTGCTGTGTAGATTGTGACCTCAGTGAGAGCTCTGATGGGCCGACACATGGTCTCGTTGGCGACTTTGATGAATCCGAGAGCCAGCTCCTCGGGGCTTAGCGTCTTGTCGCTACCTCTCGAATGCTCAAGATCATTTACCTGTTGTGAATGTTAATATGTTCTTGTTTACACTTAAATGTTGAAAATATAATTTTCACATCAAAATGTAATTAGAAAATACACCAAGCAAAATTTATTCATTCAATAATTAACAAATTAATTAACTTTGTGACCTCTAAATTTGAGGATTGGGACCTCTAAATTTGAAAACGATCAGGTTACAAATTCAGCCAGTAACCTCAAAATTGTGAGAGTAAAAAATTTGATGTTGTCGAGTCATTAGCGCTTCAAACAAAATTCTATACAGTACGGTAATGGAGAGAGCGTAGAAAACGTACCGTGGTGGCGAGTTCTTCAAAAGCTTTCCTGGAGGCATCCGCGTCCAGGGGCTGATCTTCAGTAGGACCGAAGATACGAGGGAAGTGTTCGGGCAGCAGCCGCCCCAGCAACAAGTTGGCGTCCGTCACCGCCAGCGGACCGCCTTTTTTGTAGCACACGGGACCTGTAGATTTTCAGAACATATGTTAATGGATGGCTCGATACTGATTAACAAACTTCCTGTACAATTTACTTTTTCTTGACGAATCGATTCTAACCTTTCACTGTCCAAGAGGGCTTATTGGTACATTTTTATGCTTTCATACTTGCTGCCTTGTTACAGCTGCGTTGTCAATCAAAAAAATATTTGTCGATAGAGGCTTGTGTTCGTAAAACTTACAGCTGGAATCTATTATTTGAAAAAATTTGAAACCAAATATGCTTACAGACCCAGAATATGCTGAGAGACCCTGCAAGCATATTTAAATCTAGTTCTCGATTCCGTTAAAATTTATGAGAAATGAATGGTAGTATCATCAATGAGGGGCTAATGTTACGTTTTAAAAACCGGATTCAGGGGAAAAGTGATAAAATGAACAGATAGGGGTTTAATTTTCCAATGTAGAGCTCATACATACCAGGGTTAGCTCCCGCAGACTCTGGGCCAACGACGAACAGCCCAGACTGGAAGAACAGTCGTGACCCGCCGCCCGCCGCCACCGTGTTGATGTCCAGCTGCACTCACGCCACGTGTTTGACAACAAGTAGTAGTTATTACCGAATAAAATACCCTAAATCAAAATAAACGTATTTATATTCATTAATGGTGAAGAATGAAATTATTTAATAATCTAAAACATTGCATAACAATAAAACTCCAACGGAACACATGTTTCACGATGCCGTTCGTTCTAAAAAAATCATAGGAGAGAATACACATTATTTATTGGACCAAAAAAATAGGTAATTGTAAGTGCTAATTTGAACGTTTACCTGAGGAGACTGCAGGGTGATGCCCGCTACGGTGCTCTCGAAGACGTGCTCAAAAACACCCGCATACCGAGACACATCCGTTGAGGTGCCGCCCATGTCGAAACCGATCACAGGCATGGAGCTTGGGTCGTCCTCCTCCGACGGTTTCTGTGTTGACGAATCTTGTGTGTCGGGCGAAGAAGAAGTCGAGTCTTTTTGTTGCTCGATAGGAAGGGAATTTTCCTCTTTTGAGTCGAGAGAAGAAGTCGAGCCTTTTTGTTGCTCGATAGGAAGGGAATTTTCCTCTTTTGAGTCGGGAGAAGAAGTCGAGCCTTTTTGTTGCTCGATAGGAAGGGAATTTTCCTTTTTTGTGTCGGGAGAAGAAGTCGAGTCTTTTTGTTGCTCGATAGGAAGGGAATTCTCCCCTGTTCCGTTAGGAGTGAAGGATTTTTTTAGTGAACGTAGCTGATGGCAGGTAGTGGCGGCGTATCCAACGACTCCTCCGGCAGGCCCCGATAGTATGGCCCGTGATCCAATGAACCTGTCGCAGAGATAAATTATAAATAGAATCTTTTCGAGGTTTTATAATTGGTTTATTGGGGTTTTAAACCTACAATAATAAACAAACAGTAAATTTCCATAATCGTGCGCATGTGAAAACATATATGAATTTATGGAATCATTTATGTTCGAACAATTGACAAAGGGAAATAAGGAAAATTGCAAGCCAATAAAATCATATTTGAAGTATTATTGAGAATAGAAATTTATTTCAAACTTCTTACTTCTCCATGAGCGTGAGGCCGCCATCGCTCTGCATGAACAAGACGCGCACGCCTTCAAGGTCGTTCTCGAACCCACTTTTGAAACCCTGGAGGTAAAAGTAATATTTATACTTAAATATTATGAATTATTTTCGCTTATTAGGTCAGCACGCACAGCTATTTACAAATTTGGAATAATGTTGTAATTTTATTATAAGGAAATGAATTAAATTGAACATAATGAAATCAACTCAGTAATACAATTCAAGAAGAGCGAGTATCATCATTACCGAGCATCATCGTCTTACGAGTATTTCGTAAGACCGAGTATCATCATTAAAAAGAAAATAATTAACAAAATTATGTTGATTAGCAGGGAAGAAATTTGCGTTTATGCAGCTCAGGTAATTCTCGGGTTACAAAATTGTCGTCTTATAAATGCTCTGCTATCATTTTCTACGAATACGTACTAAAACCTAAATGAAGCTCTAACACTACAAATCTCAAGTCTAAATGAAGCTCTAACACTACAAATCTCAAGACTAAATGAAGCACTAACACTACAAATCTCAAGTCTAAATGAAGCACATAGAGTTTTTCACGTGTACAAACGGAGTAGGACGTATTGTACGCTTTAGAATATAGCGTTAGAGGAAAAGACATGCTATATTTCTCTAGCTATTACTAATGATTACGAATAAGCTAGATATTCTGACGTGTATGAGTGGAGGAGAAGGACGGCGAGAGACGAGACGCCCTTAGCGAGCACCTTCGTCAGGTCCTCACGCAGCAACTCCTCGTCCAGCTCCTTCAGGAGTAGGAGTCGCTCGCCCGTGCTACCTTCCACCTATTTGTACAAACAATTACATAAAAATTTTTAGTTTGATATGGCAAACTTTAAAACCCTGTACAGCTTTAATGAATTTTAAAAACTTTTATAATTTTAATTCATTTTAAAACCCTCTATAGCTTTAATGAATTTTTAAACCCTATATACATTTAATAAATTTTAACACGTCCTAAAGTAAAAAGTGGAAAAGAGCTACGGTACACCGAAAACGTTGCCCGCTCAAATGGCGCCTGCTAGTCCACTTTAAAAAAAAAACAAATGAGTATTTGTTCTGCAAAAATTAAATATTGAAGTTTCATAACATTATATCAAGTCAGTAAAAAGCACTTCATTATTTTTAAGCGCCTGAAATACAGATACTTCAGATAATAGTACCATCTTAAAAGCTAGGGGTAGTTACGCAGACACCTTTTATGTGGACATAAACCTATCCAGCTATTAAACTAACAAGTTTTCAACATATTTAACGCATGTGAAATTTTCAATTCATCAACCAAAACGTTGTACTGCATAAAACGTAACTAATTTTACCTGTTGTACTTCAGGATAATCTTCTGCGATCTTCAGCGCAGGCAGAAGCCTTTCGTGAACCTCCACCACATCTTCGTACAGAACATCCGGACACTCCACCCTCTGCATAATAGAAACAATATCCAGTAAGTAATTTCGTTACGACATTCAAAATCAGGTGCCGTCCAATTACGTCAAAAAATGTAACTCAGTACTCACTGCAGTGAGTGACAGAGAGCGCATTTTCTCGTCGACGAAAACTTGAGGTCACGGACGTAGGGACAGACGGACAGACAGACATGGCGAGCACAATAGTGCATTTTTTTCCATAAATGAGAAAATGCGCTAAAAAGACTACCGTAGACACTGGAGGCTCCTCAATACTGGAGACTCATTGAGATACATCATAAATGGTGCTTCTGTGTTTTGTACTTGCTTTGAATAATGATTATAATGTTCAAATCAACTTTTTTTTTTTTTTATTATTAAATAATCAACTTAATAATTTTTATTAAATAATCAACAATTAATCAACTTTTCATGCTATATTTTATTCGTGGAACAAACAACCCACGAAATCACAACAGGAAGACAAGTCTATCGTCCCGTTCATAAAACTTTATTCGTAACGAGCTGTGTCAACGTAAATACAAAATCTGATAATGTTTAGAAATATTTCTCACTAAATAACATAATGGTCCTTGTTAGATTTCATTTGTTTGCAAATTTTTAGATTGTAGAACCTAATTTATGTTAGATATCTTGGTAGTTCAATATTTTTGTGAGCTCTCAATTTTCGAGTGCAGCGCGTTTTCGTAGCTAGTTTACTGTTCGTAGCTTTTATTTCGAGTCGAAATCGATTTTCACGATGGCAAAATTTTAATGTTGCAAACGACATTAATAAATTCGATGGTCAACTTTTGGGAAGCTTGAAAATTTGAATGAAATAGAGAAACTAATTAGTGTAAATCAGTTTTGTATCCTTGATGACTGACTAATTATTATATCAAGATCTTTTGAAGTCAGATCAAAGCAGAGGAGTTTTAATTTGTTGTGAACACCGGAATTGTGAACTGAGGTCATGTAGATCGTGCATAGCCATTCAAGATTTAACAGCCTTCATTTAAACAAAACTTGTCTTTTCAAAACTACGAAAAAGATGCAAAAAAACAGCACTCAGTTCCATTTAATTTGGGACAAACGGTCTTTAATTTTGTTATCAATCTTCAAATATAAAATATAAACTTTTTACAGAATTATATCGCACTGATGGAACTATATACCTCCTCAGCTATACCATCCATGAATTAATGACAAACAGTTGATGATAATATAGAAAATTCAAGGATAATAAAATAAGTAGGATTAAATGTATAAAAAGTAACAGAAATTCAACAGCTGCAAACAAATGAATATTGGGCCTTATTGGCCGAAGACAAAACAATTTTAAATTAGAAGTGAACAGCACTAGGTAAGGGATCAATGTAAATTCAAATGAATATGACTGACCAGATCAAAGATGTTGGGGCGGGCCTGATTGCCGATATACAAGAGGTCCCTGAAGCCGCTGGTGACGGCGAGCGCCGTACGCTGCCCCTTTCGCTCGAGCAGCGCGTTCGTCGCCACCGTCGTGCCCATGCGGATCCAGGCGATGCGCTCCGTGCTGATCCGGCACGACCGCGGCATTACTTGTCCGGTCTCCTGCGGTCCGGCAAATATTACACACATACACATAGGTTAATATATTATCAATAGGTCAAGGTACTTTCGATAGGGTATGTAGTATGATGGGTTATTTATAAAAAAAAATCTGTGAGACTAATGTAAGATGAGTTTTTGGAAAGAAAATACTGATTTTACAACACTTCTCTTTAACTTCACTTCTTGTCTGTCTGTCTGTCTGTCTGTCTGTCTGTCTGTCTGTCTGTCTGTCTGTCTGTCTGTCTGTCTGTCTGCTACAAATCTTGTAATCGAAATTTAATACACTTCTACTTATCCTATCGACCTGAAATTTTGCACACTTGTGTAAAGTTGGAGACAATGCATGAATCAAATGTTAAAATAAAAGATTTTAAAAATTGAAAAAAATATTTGTTTTTAATATTAAAAAAATTGAAAAAATAATTTTGCCAGCTACAAATCTTATAGCTGATATTTGACACACTTTTACCTGTCTGATTGATCTGAAATTTTGCACACTTGTGTGAAGTCAGAGGCAATGCATGAATCAGAATCAATTAACAGAATAAATAATTTTGAAAAAATTATATATTAAAAAATTTATATATTAAAAAAAATTGAAAAACTAAATTTTTAATTTGAAAATTAAATGAGAAATTCGTTGTACATTTGTGAGATTGGAGACACTGGATTCTTTGGAAGTGTTGTCTTTAAAAATTAATTTTTAAACGCATATTTATACCAGAGATCGCGAAAATACATGACTAATAGAAGAGGAAGCAGTTCAGAGTAACAATTACAGATTAACACACAGCATCAACGATGTCATTGTTATTTAATTCGCATTAGCAGGAACATTAGGACATCAGGCAACCAACCTGCTCGAGGATGCGTCTGATGGCTTCGGTAGGCGCGTCCTTGTAATGCTTGGGGTCCTCAGAGAGGAGCTTGAGGACCCGCTCCTTGCCCCCAGGACACAGCGCCCACACGTCCGTGAACGTCCCCCCGCGGTCTATCGCGAACGCGAACTTGTCGTCGGGGACGGTCGCCATCTTGATAATCTAAAAACTGTGAAGACATACAGGTGAGATTTTGCTCTTATCAGAGCTATGCTTAATCAAGAGTGATATCAACATTAGCAGTTGAAAAATTTGATAAAGTATGAATCTATCATTACCATATATAATACACTTCGAAGTATAGTTTCCTTCAATATATAGTAATCGCCAGCTGAGGCTTGTTATGAGCACATCACACGGTCAGTTTTCTGGTCAATTCCACTGTACATCGTTCATTCATTGCTCGACCTCTCTTCACAAACATTTATCCACTGCGCTACCACCGTTCACCGTACATTTATTCACTGCCCAACCACCGTTCACCGTACCTACATCATTAACTCATTCATTATCCTATGACCGCTCTCAGTACATCATTAACTCGTTCACTACCCTAACGCCGTTCACAGTACATCACTAATTCATTCACTGCCCTAACGCCATTCACAGTACGTCATTAATTCAATCACTGCCCTAACGCCTTTCACATCATATCACTTGATCACTGCTCTGCCACGTCTCAGTGCATCACAACATCTGATGATCTGAGTACGGCAGTAGACAAGGCACAGAAGACAGATAGCAACACATCTGGCACCCTCAAGTCTACCGCGGCTAGTGGCGTCGACGCAAGGCAAGTGGCACCGGCTGAGCAGAATGTAGGAGCAACAAGTTTGTGCATTCAAGGTCACCGCCATCGAACTGGCGTACGTACAAACATGAACCTTTTTCTCGATAGCAATGCATAGCCATTGTGTTCGCTCATTCAATCAATATTATTTGATTATTACTGATCACGAATAAGCTAGAGTTTTTCACGTGTACGAATAGAGTAGTACGTATAGTATAATTTAAAATATATCATTAGAGGAAACGATAGGCAGAGAAGGGCATGTGGGCAAAGAGAGACTTTGCTGTCCTAGTGAAATTGAAAGCCACGATGCTAAATGTGACATTTGAACAATAAGTAATCACGAGGATGCAGCTGAACAAATTTGTTTTGGTTGTCATCATCTCCAGAAAAAAGAGTCGAGAAAATCAGAGTTGGAGGGTTCCTCAAAGTAAATTTATCCACAATGGTGAACCTTGGCGAAATTTTTATATCAGCAGACATTGATTTTCGAGACAGCTCTTCCAATTAAACTATTAGATATTTGAGATAGCAGGATTATCTTATTTACAAGCTTAGTAAAAATTTTCAATGTCTAAGAAAATTCACCAAATCTTCGAAGAAAATGTTCCAATCATTTTCATTCTAAATATCTCAAGTTTTATTGACTTGCTTCTTTTCAATTATTGATTTTTTATTTTATCTTTCATCCATTATATCAAACATTTTTATTATTTTAATATGTAGGTATAGATCTAAATTTATTTTTTGCCATTGAAATAATTACATTACTTACGTTGGTACCAGAGGAAATGTGACGTTTAGTTCAGACGACTTCAACAACGATGTTGCTAGTACGGAAGCAAGATCGACAATGCGGTAGCAAGCTTTGTGCGCGTACTTATAAATGTTGGGAGAGGTCGCATCTCAACTGCAATAGCTTATCGGTCTTATCACTTGCCACTTATAAGACGCAATGGCTGGTGTTCCGAGAGCATTTTATTAGTCTACGAGCTAAAATTATCTCACGACGGCACAACATGCATTCATCTACTTCAAGAATGAGGTCATGTTTCTTCGAGAGTAAAGAAACCTAATTCAAGAATTAGGACAAGCTTGACTTGACATCCATGCTGTTTACGTAATCAACCCTCTTTCACTACTTATGGTTACTCGCGTTACCAGACTTTAAGAAACAATTAGCATTTGAAGCGTTTAATCGATCTTTGGACAAGTATTGAAAGATACCTCAACTCAACAGAACTCTCCATGAAAATTATATTTAGTAAAAACATTGATAAAGTCCAAGATTTTGAATGCATTTCCAACCCGTGATGAAATAGGAGTGAATTGAATTGAGCTGTTGAGAAAATTATCGGTGAACAAGGAATTAACGGAGGTGCTACCGCTACAATAGTCATACACTATAAAGCATTGAAGCAAAACTATTGTGAAGGGGGTTAACGCCTAGCGGCATCAAGATATCTGTAAAGTTGACACGTACTGAATATTAACCAACTACCCAGATTCAAACGAAATGTCATTTGAACATCGGCGTCTTATATTTCACACCAGCGGAAAGATTCACATTGTTATCTATCTATTTCAAATTAATATTCAATTTTAATAGATGCCCAAAATAAAATCAGAGATTCCCACTATGACAAAAATAGGTCGGTATAGGTCCAGATTTTTACCACATCAAAATCAACATTCAATGCACAATTCCTCAATGATCACAACTAAGAAAATACTAATACAAGCCACGTTACAACTAATCCACCATCATATAGAAGTAGACGTCCTCGAGTTCTAATAAAACTACGCACAACGGACGACATGCGATATCTACCTACGCTTGACCTCATCAAGAGAAAGTCATGAGGAGAATACTTCTTGTTTTATGTACAAGGCCGGTAAGTTGCCACGAAACAACACGGAACACTCGATTTTAGTCTGAAAATCATACGTGCGTTTTATGCATTTTCGTGTTTCTAGAGACTTTCAGGTTTGAGCGGTGCATTGGCTTATGTTAGTAAGTACCCGCCACAGACGGTAGATATGCAATTATGTTAGTCGCTACCCGTCACAGACGGTAGATATGCAATTGTGGTAGTCGATACCCGCCAAAGACGGTACCTAGATATGCAATTATGTTAGTCGCTACCCGTCACAGACGGTAGTTATGCAATTATGTTAGTCGGTACCCGCCACAGACGGTAGATATGCAATTGTGGTAGTCGGTACCCGCCAAAGACGGTACTTAGATATGCAATTGTGGTACTGTAGTCGGTTCGCGACACAGACGGTAGATATGCAATTAAACTAGGCCAGACGGTCGGGTCGAGATAGAGAGCGATCGCTCGTATTATAACAGGCTGCACTTCACGGCCTTAGTTTTGTTTCATAAGTAGAACACGCATATATGCGATCATTGTACACAGATATGATAGGCCAGAATATAAGTGTAACCCTTACAAGACTAACCCGACTATATTAAATACCGTGCGCGTGGATATATTTTTTTCCAATACATCACAATGCAATCGTTCAATAGAGAGTCGCTGATGTAAAACAATGATAACACGACAGATACAACAACAACATGACAAAAACGTAGACAATTATGTACCACTGCAACATACCTAACTGGTGCGCCGCATCAATATGATTTCCTCGCCAAACAGCTAACTGAATAATCTACCCAGCTATAGAGGCTCAAAATCACGAACAAGTCTCACACGATCATTTCTGGAATAGTGAGAAAATAAGGCCGAGCCAGCCCTTAATAAGGCAACAGCGTCAGCTCGCTCATGACCAGATTTGCCAGGAGGAGCCTTGACCCACGTAGATCCGTAGACACAAAAACTTATTTGGGTTCAGGAGCAGCTGACTAATTTGGTAGATCAGACTGTAGTAGAATCACAGTCGTCTTGTGAAACTACAAGGCTTTTAAAGAATATTACTTATCAAGTAGAAATTACTTTTTCGGTCTGCTATATATTCATGGACAATGCAAGTTAACTTGGCAAGCCGAGTAGAATTCTTAAAATGTTTCCTCCGGGAAATCGGTCGTGATTTGATGGTCCTAATAAAGCCTAAGCTGTGGATTGACTATTTAACATCGGGACTTATGACATTACATTGTGTTGAAGCCTGAGTAATTAGAACAGAGGTCAACCGTAATGGAACTCAATATAATTTACCGTAGGCGTAAATATTTTAGCACAATCGTGATTGAGGAGTGGAATTCAATTGGATAGTCACGCGCAACCTACGCGATTTCAGTTCCTTATAGAAAAAATGTCTCATGACATTCCATTTTGTTCAGTCACGCATGTCACCAGCAGTCAAGAAGAACCTACGAAATCTCCACTCACGCAAATGGGACTAGGTACACCGACATCTGAAATACACGCGATGAAAGAATTGCATAAACAATGACTTTCGTTCAAGCAATGTACACCAGAATGTAAGGTTTTCTGCCACCTCCGCTATTGCAAAGCGAACAAGTTTGGAAGAGAATAGAGCCCTGGCGCCAGCGCAGCCTTGACCCAGTGTCAGAGAACGATCTACCTTTCAGCGGCGTTCATGGGTAGCGTAAGAATTTGGTAGACAAGGTCACATTTGTTGGGGCTAGTTAGAGCTGCAAGGCCAAGTAAGCTACTAAGCATGTCACCCACTCTGAGGACGGTTTGCCTTTATATTTCCTAATAGCCAGGAAAGTGCAGCATACAGATTTGTGGGACGAGGTGACAGTATCGGTGCTTATGCTCGTGCTGGATATGGTACACACTACACACAGTACATGATGTTCACGGACCATTAGATAATGACGACGCCTCAAAGCCGATCAATATTAATCCGATCTTCCGCATTGGATGAATGTTGATCGCGTGTTCGGCGAAAGCAAATAATGCAGCTACACCAGATCCATAGTCCGCGGAAAATACTAGGCATTGAATATGGGGATCGTCTAAATACAATTTTCAATAACTGTAATTTCATTTCATTTAAACATCAATGATGGACGTCAAATACCTAAATATAGTCATAACATCTCCAGATACGAAGATAGCTTTATTTTCATCATTCAAAATAGAGTTAGCCTCTAGATGACGTCATAAAGCCTACTGAACTATAACATTACTCTCACCAGCACTGACGTCACACAGCCTGCTCCTTGTACTCCTGCATATTATCGATCACGGAGCCCGATGCTATGCAATCTCACATTGAAGGTCAACTTACCCGCTTGTAAAAATATAGGAGAAAATTAAAACCCTGAGCATTTGGTATATTGGAACTATAAATCATGATGTATGAATGCCACATGCCAACAACCGAGCATGGAATCCACGCACTTTCCTGCCACGAGTAGAGCTTACTCGTGATTTCTGGAGCAGTTAGGTTCATATTGGATGAATGATCTATATAATTGTTAACAAAAGTACTCTATCCAATGTTGTGCACGACAAATGTATTTTTTCGTACTTCTTGAAAGGGATGAAAACTATAAAATTAAATTAAAGAGCCTCTTCCTTACATTAACTTTAAAAAAGTGTTAGAATTAATAATGTGAGAATTATCCTTGAGCCGGTTTGTTAGCCCGGTATGAAGGTGAAGTGCATATTGTCCATGTCAGAACTAAATGAACCTCTCTTACTAAAATTCCACCATGCGCATTTATTCTACCAAAATTTGTAATGTCATCTATATTATTCTACGCATGATATAATTCTAAAATGCATTGGATTTGCCTATAAAAACACCAACCTTTCCAAGTGGATAGAGTACGCGGCCACTTCAGCACCAAAGCGACCGACCCACGCAGCAAACGAAGACTAACTAACCGTCTTTTTAGTTCGCAACACGCAACTTCGCGTTAGACTTTGGCCAGTGCCAACAACGCAGCCTGATATACTGATGGTGAGCTAAGATTCGCATAGATCGAGTAATGAGTCAAATCTGAACTCGGTGACCGATAACCGGTCAACGAGTTCAGCTTTGGACTATTCATGGCACATGCAGTACAAACCAGTTCGCTGTGATGCTTAGATTTATTCATTTTAACGTCTATAGAGTACCATTCTATGAATAAGAAATTAGTAGCCCATATTAATTGGCAAATTTTAATATTTATGCCATACTATACTTTGACTACATTCCTAACCAACGAACGGTGATGTTTAGAAGCATGCGTGAGCGATCCTGTCCATTTTGAACTTAGTCCTAAAGTTCATAAAATAAAATTACTCTCTAATATCCTGCGCAAAAGTAGCCCGCCTAAACGCACTTCAAACATCGGAATGGGTGCAATAATTTTTTTTGCATAAGAACGTACGCTCAATAACGGAATGATTTAAATTATGTTGTTTCAGCATGGCGAAGACGATATCACTATAATTCATAAATTAGCAACAATCAAACAACCATGTTCCCCAGAATACAAACGCTTCCGTTCTGTTTAAAAATTGAACTCTCGTTCACCTAACATCTCCGTAATGGTATTGGCTATACGTAGTGTGTATTCATTAATAATGCATAGTTCATTAATGAAGCTTCTCATGACATGCATCATGAAATTCGACATTTGAAACTATTTTATAGAGGGAGCGCAGTATTATGTGACATGGGCCAACCTAACTCCTACTAAAATGTGAAAATCCCTAAAATTGGTTTGCGATCAAAATAAACAGAATAGAAAGCTGGTTTTTACGCTAAGTTCACTTAATTTCTATTGGAAAGTATTCCTCTATGCCACTACAGGACATCATTATAATCCTCTTCTCTAATCCGCTCTCAGTGAACGATAACAGTAAACGACTGAGACGTCTTAACTACCATCCGGTACCTACCATCCGGTACCTACCATCCGGTACCTTTACTACATCCTATATGGACTGCAGTACACCGAGGCAGTCAATATGATAAGCATAGCGATAATTTCGGATCATGTAGAGACTAGAAAATAGCTGAACTCTACTGGTCTTTAATGCTTTGAAATGCTTTCTTACAATCTGCTCGACAAAAAATCTTTATGCTTAAATGGAAAAGATGACCTACTGATAAATTTTATCCGAGGTCATTTTACGTACCATGAAATACATTACATGTTTAATGATGTTTTCAATGGAAGCATATGGAGAGGAGTTCAATTAACATCTCCCCCTTTCTTTGCGGCAGCATAGATTGCATTCTTTTCCATTATATGACCCAAGGTCCTCGTGAGTTTAAGATGAAGGTCAATAATTACAAATTTTTTAACCGCTCTGCGTTTTCTTCAACTATAATCGACTGACTAGCAATAATTTTATTGTCACCTGAACTGTTAATAACGTTCCTTGCAGCTGCTACATTTCACAATATTACCATCACAATAATTTCATAATATTTATCAATATCAGTAATCTAAAACTTTCCGAGAAATCTATGGTTTCGTGAGTAAGTCAGACACTCATAATTGTCTGCTTTAATCCAATCAGAATATTTGTAAACATGAGGTTTGTCAACTATTTACGTATTCTAGCTGGTGATGAAAAGCTACGGAATACAAACTTTTTAAAGTACAAAATCGAGAGTACAAACTTTTTATGATGATAAGTGTAGTTAGCACGACGAGATTCTCAGCAGATTCTGATAGTACACTGCCAGAATCTGGGTTCGGAGCGCTCTGCTCAGTTGCCCTGGCCTCCTAAAACGTGGCATAAATATTTTCTTGATTTACACTAAGGAACTACGGGATTGCGTTTGTTGCACCTAAAAGTTACCAACATAGCTTGTAGTTTTTTTTTCTATAAGAATAACATGGTTGCACACAATGTTTAATTTATCAGCACTAAATTATAAACAATTACTAATTATCGTTGCATAGAATTTTTCTCTTGTTTTCCCATTTCCTGAAATTCGTTAGTCCCAGAAGTCGTGCTCTTTACTAAAGACACGACTTTATTTGTCCCGTACTTTGCTTATGAATCTGCATTGCGATTTCATTTGATCTTATATTTTTGCTGTTGACTCTTGATCTAACGCAAATTCCCCTGCCGTCTTGAGTGTCATACTAAAAATGTCATGCATTCTTAGTATGACTCATAGAAATTGAATCTTCAAGACCCTGACTTATTCTCCCTCAGAACGGAGGAAGTTCAGAGTACCAGGATTGGCGCAGGGAGGCGTAAGTTCAATCCCAGCTCTGTGCGCCAGTTTCCGGTCAGAATCGGCAAGGAGGCCGGGCGGTTAAGCAAATCAGAATTAGAGCAGTGAGTTGCGTGTTCGAGACCGCTACACGCAGTGAATGTTCTGCGATGTTAATAATCGGCGACAGGCCTATGGTCTAATAAACGCTGAAACCGCTATATTATTATAGCAGCTATTTTAGTAAAATTCTCTCACTCCTGTGTGTATTTTCGCACGTAGTCGTCTAATCTGCAAACGAAGCCGCGGTTGTGAAAGTTTGTCGTCATTGAATTAATGCAATATGTCCCCCTCTGAAATTCAATACCTTCAGCCGAGTGCTATCTTCAGTGTGAGTGCTGTCTTCAGCGTGAGTGCTGTCTTCAGCGTGAGCGCTGTCTTCAGCGTGAGTGCTGTCTTCAGTGTCTGTCTCTTATACACATCTAGATGTGTATAAGAGACAGGCTGTGTCTTCAGTGTGAGTGCTGTCTTCAGCGTGAGTGCTGTCTTCAGTGTGAGTGCTGTCTTAAGTGTGAGTGCTGTCTTCAGTGTGAGTGCTGTCTTCAGTGTGAGTGCTGTCTTCAGTGTGAGTGCTGTCTTAATTCAGTGTGAGTGCTGTCTTCAGTGTGAGTGCTGTCTTCAGTGTGAGTGCTGTCTTCAGTGTGAGTGCTGTCTTCAGCGTGAGTGATTAGTATAGAAATTCATAGTATCTCAAAATTGTTAATATATGTAGAACCGTTGAAGATTGATTGAAGCCGACGGTTTAAAATTCAAAACAAAGCGGGTGTAGGACGCCTCACGCGGGTAGCGAACGGGGCTATAAAAGGAGAGAGGTAGGAGAAGAGGCAGCTCAGTGCGAGTCGGCTAGCGTGCCGAGAGGACATCGTGTTGTGTGCGGAATTTAGATCGCCGAGTCTGTGCAGAAATCTCGTGTTGGAGTTTTTCCAGGACAACACGGAAAATATGAGGCGTGTTTGATAGCACAAGAGAAGAATCAATCTCCCAACCGAAGAAAACTATTCCCACCGAGACAGAGTTTTATTTCGGAAGCCAGTATCTACAGGCTACAGCAAGAAAGAACGCATCACCCCAAATAACACGCACACCAGGGAACGCGGACTGAAGACTTCCGATTTCTAATCTTCGGTCGTTTACAACAGTCGTACGGCTCAACGGAACTGCAACGGATCTCACGCTATTTCTTAAACATCAATCTCCCAACCGAAGAAACCTATTTCCACCGAGATAGAGTTTTATTTCGGAAGCCAGTATCTACAGGCCACAGCAAGAAAGAACGCATCACCCCAAATAACACGCACACCAGGGAACGCGGACTGAAGACTCCCGATTTCTAATCTTCGCCGTCGCTTAGCCTTGGAAAACTCGCCACCCGCTGCGCAGTGGGCCTCACCATCTCCAAAATTTTCGGTGATGTACTCCGGGAAACTGTTAGAAACTATCTTATTTTCCGTAGAGTCATAGAAGTGAAATAACTGGGTAGATAGGTCGGGATAGGAGATATTTTGAGCACAAATGCTATGTCGGGAAATTCCCCTGTGTAACTCTGTCTGAGCTACATATTTTGGTGTGGCAGTATAGGACCATATTTCGTGTAAATCGTGCTCTGCCGACTGTCCAATTGTATTAGACTAGATTTCTCTATAATATAGTAACTATAGAATTTATCTCCATGTGTTGTCATTGTTCCTTTGCTAACTAGTTCGCTGTTCTGACTTTTAGAACCGTAAATCAATGCGCCGTTTACCGCCACTCTGGCAAAAAGTCAACCTGACCAATTTCTAATTTATATCAGAAGATAGAAAATCGATGAGTTAACTCAATAAATTTATGACGAAAAATGGTATTTCAGATTTGAATTCGTGGCCAAGTAGAAATGATTAAAGATCTCGAAAAGAGGTAAATAATAGTGAGAATTAGGAAGTCTTAGACTTTATAACAAAATTATTCACAAACCAATTTATTCATGAGTGCTGTCTTCAGTGTGAATGCTGTCTTCAGCGTGAGTGCTGTCTTCAGTGTGAGTGTTGTCTTCAGTGTGAGTGCCGTTTTCAGTGTGGGTGCCGTCTTCAGTGTGAGTGCTGTCTTCAGTGTGAGTGTTGTCTTCAGTGTGAGTGCCGTCTTCAGTGAGAGTGCCGTCTTCAGTGTAAGTGCTGTCTTCAGTGTGAGTGCTGTCTTCAGCGTGAGTGCTGTCTTCAGTGTGAGAGCCGTCTTCAGTGTGAGTGCACTTTTTAGCCGTTTTCTATGAATTTCACGTTTTCTATCAATTTTTTCGAAAAATTCATAGGAGCAAAATGTTTTTTTTTACATTTTACGTATGTATGTGAAGTTTCATGACAATCGGATAATAACTGTAGAAGTTTTCGTATGCTAGGGCGGTCCCCTTAAAGATCAGAAATGCACTGCATAAAATAATAATATATAACATTACATGTGTAACATGTGTATTATGCATGTTATATATGTTTATGTTTCGATTGATGCCTGGGAAAAATTTTCATTTTTAAATCACAGATACCAAGACTTATTGAAGTTTTTTGATTAGCGGATAGTAGTTTGAATCGAAGCATTATATTAAATAAATTAAGCGATGTGAATCACGTAATTACCTTAGTGCTACCTTAAAAACCAATAAATTACCTTAAAGATCAATATGTAAATGCTGCTCATACAGTGCCAATTATTCATTGATTATCGCTACTGCTTAGCTATAATTTGGAAAATTCTGTTATATGAAAATTCTCATGAAGTAGTTTGAATTCCTGGTTTCATTTGCCGCTCCAAAACTGTGTTTTTACGAGTCAATCACTAAAAATTCAACCAAATCCTACATATAAACAGTGACGTCATTTATGCAATTTTAAGGAGGCTTCAGCTTCTTCAAAATTTTCTAAAGCCCCATAAATAAACTGATGATCAGTTATTAATTAATTATTTTTTACGAATAATTTCGACACATTCCATATTGCGGGTCGGAATGCGCTTATAATGCTTTAAACATACTGTATTTCCTGCTTGTTGTCGTGCTGTACTACAGACAGTTTGTGCTGTTTGCGGAACGAAACGTTCGCTCACATCACATCTCCTGAGGCCTTAGCTCCCTTGTCCTCAAAATGCCCATGTGTCGCAAGTGAGTATTAAAATAAAAAAATTCACTTTGTGAAGCACATTATATTGTTATATATGCGTTAAATTGCTAATAATTCTTAAATAATTTTAAAAGTAAATATAATTATGTATGGGGTCAATTCAGCTCTAAAACTCATTCCACAGAAAATTCTTTGTTCACGACAAGTTAAATATTAGTTTTAAACTCCGTGGACTATTTTCTTGATTTGTTTCCCAAATTGAGCACATGCGAGGTGAGTTTTGCTAATGAAATATTCAATATATTTAAGCCCTTTTTGAAATGACGCAATAGGCACATAATTGAAGCCGAGAGCCATTAGGGCTTCATGGCGAGGCGGCCACAGCGCAGGAGGGCGCAACACGACGCTCTTCCTCTCGCCGGCCGATCACTACAGCGCTCTCTGGTGGTCGTGGCGGCAAATTGGTGCATCAGCCTGCAATAACGCAATTCATAGAACATAATACAGAAAAAACTTTATAGTCATGATTATTCTAAACATTATCTTGCATTCGTTAATATTTTGAAACAAATAACATTATTTTATAAGGGGCTAACGCCAAAAATTGTTCACTGGAAAAATTTGCACTCGAGACCATTATTTTCCCTAACTTTTCATATGCTTGTTTATTTAATTCAAGAGCCATGCCAATTTTTCAAAATATTTTTGAGTTTGACGTTTTTATTACACTACCCAAGACGCGTTGGAGTGCATCGTAGTGCAGGCGTGGCGTCGCAGGTTTCCTGGGCAGCGCTCGGCACTGCAGCGTTGGCTGTCGTGGCGTTAGCAGCTAAAACAACGCTGCTCTGTCTCTGCTGCTAACTCAGTTCGCTTCAGGCTCATTACCCCACATTTGCTAGAGATAGCAGATCTCTTTTAAATTTTTTATAAGCCTATCACATTATCATATTTTCATAGAGTTCCAGCCATCGATTTACAGTCATATTAGCGATTAGGTACTTACATCAGTAATTTCATGAATTATGTGCGCTTGAATTAAATTAGGCAGTTGCGAGATAGAGGAGTTACTCTACACTCAAATAACCGTCTTATTCATTCCAGATTCTGAAAATTGAAGTAAATTCACAAATATAAAGTTACAAATTAGTCGAGCGTTTCGCGATTTTTTAAAATCTTGCAGTCACCCACGAGGACCAAATTTCAGCATGCCACAGCGTGAGTACTAATGTTTTCTAAATATCCACCTTGAATTGATCCATTTATTTCTATTTACATCGTGTTATCGATAAAATAATGGATATTTAAAACATTATCAAAATAAATTTCATCGAGGAAGTAATTCAACACAATTCTGATCATAGGCCGAGGACGACGCTTCAGGAATGAAAGAAATTGAGATAAATTTATACCAATTTATTTATTAATCACCAAGATAAATAACGAGTCTTTCTTTCTTCATCTCTTGTTTGATAGTTCTAGTAAAAATCTCTCAAACCATTAAAAATATTTATACTTCCAATCCAGTGCACATTATTAAGCTGCTCCTGGGAAGCAACGAGCGTCTTTCCAGTCTCCTCATGCGTAATTTGCGTTATAATCATTTTGGCACCTGAAGTGCTTACTTGTTTATTTAGTAACTTCCTTATAAATTGTTTATTTTTCATCTTGAATAATTGTGTCGAAACTCGATCAGATAAATTTAGGGACTGTATTGAAGAGTTCTAAATTCAAATCGAGAAACGGATTTTTACAAAGGCTTGGAAATTTGTTGGAATGATCTTCCTCACATGACAAACTTGATGAAAATGCAATTACGAACCTATCTAGAAATTTATTTCTCGATTAAAACAAATTCTGCAATCAATGTGACTCCGAAACCAGCAGCATATAATTTTCTCTCTTGGTCGTAGAGTGACAATATTTCGGTGTTATGGAAACTCAGAACTCGAGACATGTCCATCACTCCCAGCTGTATAACAACCAACCGATTATTTGTCAGTAAAAATACTACCCATGATATGTCACAACGGTTGTTCCCTATTTAATTCTCGTCATTTTTTACAGTTAGTAACTTTTCACTCGCACAAAGTTTCTAACTGACCAAAAAAGCAATAAGTTCGAAAAATTTAGCCATGTCTAGCGCCACGCGCTTCGAGTGCAGTGACGTGTTGGCACCGCAGTGCGACTAGAGTGCAGTGACGTGTTGGCACCGCAGTGCGACTAGAGTGCAGTGACGTGTTGGCACTGCAGTGCGACTAGAGTGCAGTGACGTGTTGGCACCGCAGTGCGACTAGAGTGCAGTGACGTGTTGGCACTGCAGTGCGACCACGCCTTGTCCCATCGTCGCTATCAATGCTGCCGATTTCCGAACGATTTTAATTTGGAAATAAATCTAGTAGACTTAACCTCAAGCGAAGAAGATAGTGGATATTGTGATCACAATTTCATGAGTTTATTCCTTTAGTTAATTTATGAGATTAATTTTATGGGATTTTCCTAACAAATGAAAGGAATAAATTTGTGCATTCATCTGAAAAAACTTTCGAGTGATAATGTATAGCAAGTTTAAATTAAATTATTTATTTATACAATGAGAAATATGGAGAAAAATTACATGGAAAATTTTTTACCAAAAATTTGCAATGAAAAAGGATACATTTAATTACTCATTGAGGAGGTATGTGGATGAAAGTTCTACCAAAATAATTTAAAAACCGGAGTATTAAGATAGTAAAATAAATGCGTAAACAGTACAAAGTGTCATTGGTTCGCAGCAACTCTGATATTCAAATGGAACGGTACATGCCCAATTAGTAGCGGAAGGCCGGCATTTATCATTGATTGCACTGATGATATACACATCACTATATACTGTATCATTGATCGTGGGCAAATCTGCTGCTCATCAAATTAATGGCCCGTCGCTCACCGAAGCCAGCAGACGCAGAAACATCAATTCAGGGCATGACTACAATAAACAAAATCAAGGAATCTAAGCGATTTTAAGGAAACCGTGGACTTTCTCATGTAAACTTTACGTTGATTGTTTTTTTTTTGCTGGGAAAGAAAATCTAGAAAATTCCCAGCAAGAAAAACGGATAATCTAGAAAATTCATTCATTCTTCACCATCAAATTACTTCTCAAATGCGAGGAGATTATTCCTCTCATAACTTATTTGTTATTCAGTTCAATTTAGAGCAACAATACCAAAATTATTGAGAATATGATTCAAATAAACAATTTCCATCGATCTTCTACTAGTAATTTTGAGAGTCAAAAACTTGTCAGGTAATCATACTAATTTAGCCTTCCGCATACTTCTGTCAACGGGAGTACGAGATTAACTTCGATCCGATTGTGACAAACAGGTCCTCGCTGACCCGTTTATAAAGTGTGAACATGCAACCTCACTGACCTGGTTTGAAAGTGTGAACAGGTGTTCTTGCTGACCTGGTCTGAAATTGTGAACATATGCCGCCGCAGTCCAGGTTTGAAAGTGTGAACATGTGTCCCCGCGTACCTGAACTAAAAGTGTGAACATGTGTCAGCGCTGACCTCCTTTGAAAGCGTGAACATGTGTCCCCGCTGCCCTCCTTTGAAAGTGTGAACATGTGTCCCCGCTGACCTCCTTGAAAGTGTGAACATGTGTCCCCACTGACCTCCCTTGAAAGTGTGAACATGTGTCCCCGCTGACCTCCTTTGAAAGTGTGAACATGTGTCCCCGCTGACCTCCTTGAAAGTGTGAACATGTGTCCCCACTGACCTCCCTTGAAAGTGTGAACATGTGTCCCCGCTGACCTCCCTTGAAAGTGTGAACATGTGTCCCCGCTGACCTCCTTGAAAGTGTGAACATGTGTCCCCGCTGACCTCCTTTGAAAGTGTGAACATGTGTCCCCGCTGACCTCCTTTGAAAGTGTGAACATGTGTCCCCGCTGACCTCCTTTGAAAATGTGAATATGTGTCCCCGTTGGTCCAGCTTATGTTGGGAATGCTACTGGATTTTACCGGTCCACTGGACAACACCGGTTTTCATTAGCGGCACAAATGCCTGATGTTTAGCAATCACGCAGCGTTGGTGTTTAGTCTAGATGAAGTCGGTGTGTTATCGCTGGTCGTCATGACGAGGAACTGTTATGCCGCGCATGACAAGCTAGTCAAGTGGATCAAGGTTCAACGTTAGTGATCATTAGCTATTCATTAAAATTTCAAGATTTTACATGATAATTTAACGACGCCGCCCCTGATTTTTTCAACAAAAATATTAATTTGCGGGAGTCATCGAGCTCTTTTTTATCAACATAATTCATTCGTAATAAAGCATTCATTTAGTTTTAGAATTGAACGTTTACGAAAATTTTCTCAAGTGTTGGCCAATTAATATTGAAATTTTTACAATTAGTATGACCGACTCAATTATACGTTCATGTGATAATATATAAAAAGTACAGAAAATAGTCCTATAATCATTGCTATCTTTTCGTGTTAGTCAAAGAGAATTAGACGGATTAATTTAATCGGAGCTAACGGAAATTTAGTCTCTGAAATTATGTTAGCATTATAAATAAATATTCTTATTAAACTCGAACTAACGATATAAAATCCCTATATTTTAGATTAAATAGAGACCGATGAGTGAGTTTGCACTATCGTCTGGCCGCTTGCAGTATCAAAATAGGTCAAAAGGCCAGGAATTTTTATTTTCAAATCTTCTTTTGGTTTCCTAATTCAGGCAGGTCACATCTGTGCGGCCTACCTGCAGACCTTTGGCCTTCCATTAAGAAGGCTGCAGGTCAAGGCTGCCTAATTCAGGATCATTGCAGGTTCCGCGCCGCCATCAAAATGACAATTTCTTATAATTGAAGGCCTCGAGCTGAACTCCGACTCAAGAACGGCCTAAAAATCCTGCTGCGGCGAGTTCCTTATTCACTTTTTTCAGAGATTTGGAAATTTAAATGAAAATAATTGACTAATTTATTGTGCTCAACATCTGTGAGTGACAGTAAAATAGGTGTGTGTCAAAGTGATTGTACGTGTGTCACGCTGAAACGTGTGCTCCACAGTGAAGAATGTGTGTAACATTGAATTATGTGAGCGTCACAATGAAAACTGTGTGTGTTATAGTTAAATGTGTGAATGTCGCAGTGAAATGTGTGTGTATCATTGTGAAATGTGTGTGTGTTTGTGTGTGTGTCGCAGTGAAATAGTAAATGTCACAATGAAATGTGTGTTTCTTAAGCTGTGAAATGGGTTTGTGTCACAATGGAATGGGTGTTTGTCACAGTGAAATGGGTATGTGTCGCAGTGACATGTGTCTTTGACAGAGTGGAAATGTGTCACAAGGTAATGTATGGAATTTATCAACAGGCAACGGCAAATCGCGGGACAAATTTGCCAGAGTCACGCGGTGAAGTGCAGTATTTAAGAGAAGTTTTCTTTTCTACTGGTCTTGAAGCGCCTTAGACGTCTTGTTCCTTAAGTTGAATTTGAATGAAGAAGTAACTCTTTTTAATGTGGAATTTTGCCACGAATGAATATTTAGCGGATCAAAATTATCATAATATTATTATTTAATAACATTGCGTAAGCACTGTTTTATCGTTTGGAGCAGCAATGTATTCCCGCCTCATGACATAAGTATATAATCTCATTAGCCTCATGCGGATGAAGCATGGCGTGCGCCATGCCGCAAGCTGTTCCGTAATCTGAGCCGCGTGCGGACCAGCACGCTCTGCAGACCGGACGATTCTCTTATCTACTTCTCCTATGTACTTACGACGAATATATCTTAGTTTTACGCTTGTATCATTTCAAAATATGTATGCAATGTGATATATCGTTCAATTTAGAAAACAAAAGGAACATCTACCATGGAAATGCATGTGGTTATCACAGAGTTATATTTATAGATTTCTTACGTAGAGCAGAAGTAACTTCAACCAGTGTGCACGCAATCATTGTAGAGTCATATTAATTGAGTAAATACATCATTAGCGATCATTAGCCGTTTTAAGATCATAATCAGATTAGATCATCATCGGCAGATCATTAATGGCTGTTTTTCAATGATAGTTTAGCCTTGATAAGCAGGCGTCCGATGGCTGTACGAGCAGCTGCGTCGCACGAGCGTTCCCAGTACATCGATAGGCTGGCCTAATTCAATGAGAAAGATACTATTACGCGGCACGGAAGGAAATGTTGACTTTTATCTTGCTTGGAAATATTAGCAGATGGGAAAGCAGTATATGGAAGTAGTTCATCCACCTGTCTGTACTATATTCGATTATATTGCAGAAGAAATAATTGCTTCCATGTAAAATATAATTTCCGTAATATATTTAATGAACGGTAATTCATTACGATTATTATTGCAATATGACATTTACTATTATTATCATATTTCTCCTGAACGAATATAAAGCAAACCACGGTGATAGCCTATCATTCAATAAATTTTCTTAATTTAACTTTCGTTGGACTGTTATTGGTGTAGTACGAGGCTCGTTACAAACCGGTCAATCCGAATGCAATATTCAACGAGCTTGGCCTCGCGTGCGGCGGACTTTGCTGCACCGATTCTGCTTGTTCCCGGCAGAGCTGCTGGCCGTAGTGACAGCTGGAACTTGGGTGGGTTATAATCATATAAATATTTTTTCACAGTCATAAACTGAGATTTAGTTTTGAGAATTTCACCAGAAGGATTTAAACTTGGAAATTAAACATATTCAAATCCCATAATGTATTTATCGCACTTCAGAACTGGAATGAATTTTTGTCAGAGCTGCTTACAGCATTGACAAAAATTTAATCCCGTCTCAACTCCCAGAAAAAATCTTGTTATTAATTAATACAAAATAAACTAAGGAAGAATCTTTCGATATTTGTAATTTGCGGTCTGGATATTTGCACTAAATACAATAACCTCTGACCTTCTGGACTGAATTGTGGCGAATCTTGACCACAACATTCGCATGATTTTATATGTTGAAATATTACATCACCGTTGAGTTAGTATAGCATACGCTGCATTTATATCGAATAATTACACTTCCTGCATGTAGCTATGATACAATCCTTTGCTTCTGCAAACTGAGTCAGAATGACCCACACAAGGTAGTAAAGTGCATCGCTATTTGTGTTGTTAATTTCTCTCACAACGTAAACTGTTCACGGAACAGAAAAAGATTAATAAGAGGCGGACTATATACCTACACTCAGTGACCACTGAACTGATCATATTCACGTTTTAATCGACGAGTTAATATAATATGATGGTTTCCATGGTACCCATAAACAGCACACAAATACAGCAGCTTTGTACTGCACGTACACTTAGAGTTACTGTTGAATTGAGTTTATTGTGAATGATAATAAATAAGTACGTCGGCAAACATGTTCATTTTCTAATCTCAAGCACCCAGGAGTTTTCTTTTTAAATGATGTCCGATAAGATAAAGTGTAAAACTTTATATTCAAATCTTTGGAAGTCTCCAATTACTGCACAAAACGCTTCCACACAGTTTGCAAAGTGTATATATTAAAGTAAATCGGTAGAGGCTCGATAAATTGATTTTTTGATAAATTGATTGTTTGGATAATTTACTATTTGGAGAAATTGATTGTTTGGATAAATTTACTATTTGGAGAAATTAAAAATTTGGATAAATTGATTATTCGAAACAATTGATAATTTTGAAAAATTAATTATTTTGACCGATAGCATCGTGCATTGGATGCACTCATAAGAATGTTTGTGTTGAAGTTTTATTATCATAACTGAGATCATGGGGATATTTCGTTAAACGGGTACTGATAGCTATTCATGACAATTCTAATTGACGACATAATTTAAATAAGGTCACAAAAGTAAGGGTGTTGCCACTGTAGCTGTCAACACGAGCAGCTGCTGCAGCTGTCAACACGGGCAGCTGCTGCAGCTGTCAACACGAGCACCTGCTGCAGCTGTCAACACGGGCAGCTGCTGCAGCTGTCAACACGGGCAGCTGCTGCAGCTGTCAACACGGGCAGCTGCTGCAGCTGTCAACACGAGCAGCTGCTGCAGCTGTCAACACGAGCACCTGCTGCAGCTGTCAACACGGGCAGCTGCTGCAGCTGTCAACACGAGCAGCTGCTGCAGGCTGCTGCAGCTGTCAACACGAGCAGCTGCTGCAGCTGTCAACACGAGCAGCTGCTGCAGCTGTCAACACGAGCAGCTGCTGCAGCTGTCTAGAGAGCTGCTACTCGCGCCGTCTCATGGCAGAATCGATCTTTATATATGGACGCTCTCTTCTCATGACCCGCTCTCTCTTCCTGTCTGGACCTGCTCTCTCTTCTAGACCTTGCCCAACTGCTGCTCTCTTCATGACTGGCGCTCTCTTTTGCGCCGCGCCCACACCCTTGTACTGTATAACGTGTTCAGCAAACATGAGTTTCACTCTGAACGTGCAATTTAATGTCTACGATTAAGTAGTGGCTATCAATAATGGGATGAATCATCGCGCGGCAGTGACACGTTGTACATACGTTCATCCATCTTGCGTTGTCATGGCAACCTCACGGTCCTTGTCATACCCATGCAGCAACTGAGTGATTCTTCGGGAAAATTTTTTACTTTGAATTTTCCCAGACTTATAATATTTTTTATAAATGGATTAATATTCCGATACGTCGGAAGTTAGCTATGATTAAGTCGCAATGGCATATGCACAGTCAACGTGACTGTGCATATGCACGGAAGTTCCGTTAATGTTTAAAAAAAATAACCTGAACATTGTTAACCGAAGAGATAAATGGCAGATTATTTATCGAAATTTTCTCATAATAATTTCGGCATCTGACGCAGGTTTTTTCAATGAAATCAATACTAAGCTTTACTTTTGAAATTATGGGTATTACGAAATCATAACTTGCTCTTTTTAGCGCATTTTCTCATTTATGGAAAAAATGCACTATTTTGCTCGCCATGTCCGTCTGTCCGTCCATCTGTCCGTGACCTCAAGTTTTCGTCGACGAGAAAATGCGCTCTCAGTCACTCACTGCAGTGAGTACTGAGTTATATTTTCTGTGACTTCGCTGGCCGCATGCTAAACCTCGAACTGAACAAGAATACGCGCACATATTTAATATATAAGAATATTCCGGACAAATTTGCCAATTTTTTTGCCAAACGGACTTTCAAATTTACCTGAAATTGATCTAATTAGCTAGGCTTGAAATTCTGATTTCATCATGGATATTTTCTCCGAAATTTTTGCTTTAGAAAAACGGTTAGTTTCATCTGGGACATTTCCTAGAACATATGTCCTAGTTGAGCTTCCAGAACGTTCGCATATATTAAGCCTACGGTTTTCTCCAACCTTTAGGCTAACTGATTACCGAAGAATTCAGATGTTTACAAACAATATAACTATGACGCTACAAAGATGCCCCAAAGCACCGCGTCCGCAACTTCGACTAAAGTCACGTCTAACGAAGAAAAGTTCGTTAAAACGCAACTAACACATTAACTGAAATTTAGTTTCATGCGCAAATGTTGAGTTACTTACAGTGTGAGATATTCATTTTTCGACATAACACTAAAGGTATTTCTCTAAGAGCTGTGAAATATTAAATTTGGTTTCCATTTGCAGGTTCCGATGAGCACATGGAAGGCGAGACCGGCGAGGAGGCGAACACCACCGCCGAGGTCTGGACTGAGGAGACCTCAGAGAACGGTGGAGCTGCCGGCGGAGATGGTGATGGAGATGGAGATGGAGATGGAGGAAGTGTAGAAGGAGAAGGTGGAAACGAAGGTGATGCTGGTGAGGGCGAAGGCGAGAGTGGAGATGGAGATGAGGCCAGTGGAGATACCGAACAAGGAGGAGAGGGAGAAGAAAGTGGTGAAGGTGGAGAAGGAGCTGATGAAGAGGAAGGCAGTAAAGACTCTGGTGAAGATAGTGGAGATGGAGACGGTGCGGAAGATGCGGGAGAGAGTGGAGAAGGAAGTGAAAATGACGAAGGAGGAGAAGGTGAAACTGAAGAAACTGGAGCTGGTGGAGATTCTGATGAAGGAGATGGCACAGAGGCGGGGGATTCTGAAAAATCTGAGGAAACTGACAACGCAGCGGACGAAGAAAAGGGGGAGGGAGACGGCAAAGAAGACGGAGGAGATGACGGGGGAAGTGGAGACGCGGAAGAAGGAAGTGGAGATGCGGAAGAAGGAAGTGGAGATGCGGAAGAAGGAAGTGGAGATGCGGAAGAAGGAAGTGGAGATGCAGAAGAAGGAAGTGGAGATGGAGATGACGCAGACGGGGAAGCAGAAAAAGAAAAGGCGGATGAAGAGAAGGAAGAAGAAGCTAGTCCAGATTCAGGCGACGCGTAGCAACTTATCTCTAAACTTATTCTCCCAGCTGAAAATCACAACAGAGTTACGGTAGCCAACAGTCGGTCATCCGGTGCAGCCAGCTTGACTGCCAAGATAATAGGCTTTAATAAATGACGTGGTGGTAGTCTGCTTTCTTCAGCTCATAGCTAGCTTACCAGTCGAACTGCGCATACTGTCTTTGGTACGAATCTTAAGCCTAACACCGTCATATTTAGAAATTTAGAATTAAAATCAAATTTTCTCCCAATTACTTCGTTTGCGTTCTCAAGATAGTGATGCAGAGCTTTGTAAAAGTCAACGCGATAATGGTAACTTGAGAGCTAATTTTAATTCACTAAATTTTTCATGAGGTAATTGTAGCAAAATATTCGGCCCCTTTTAAGTTGAACGATTTATTCATCCATTCAGGATTTATTTCACATTAATTGCGATTTAGAATAATTGAATGATTCGGCGTTGGCAAGCCGAAATTCAAATATTGTAATTCGTTAATACATCTATTTTTGAGACATAATAAATTCAGAGCTATTATACACTTGATCGCACTTGCATGTTAAAAGTTTTCTCAAAATGCTTCTTCTGAATCTAAGAACTTTTCAATCTATCTTCGTTAGTAATAACAAAAAATAAAGACATCGCCATAATTGGCGGCTAATGTGGCATCTTGATAATGTGAAGCAGGACGCGCCAACGAGAAGGGGAGACATCAAATGAATAGTTGTAAGTTTTACCTAACTTAATGTTAAAGGCTATAGATTTAAAGCGATAAATTTTACCAGATTCATATCGATGACATATCGCTAGTGATAAGACTATCCCATGTGATGTTGGCTAAGGCAATGTGTGCACCATATCAAGCTAAGTTATTTTAAAGATTGTAGCAAAATTAGGCATAACTTGAGCTGGGCTTTTATCAAAAAATTAGGCGGGAAGCAATGATGAGAATTCTAAGTCTACTACATTTTAGCGCAAGTTGTGGAATCTATGGAGTGAGTACTGATGTATCTTTCCTACTTACCTTCGCCAATTCTTATAGTCATTATCTCCTCAGCTTTAACCTAATTATTGTAGACTAAGTCGATATTTAGACCCGCGGATATAGTTATAAATGTAGTCCTGTATGCCTTGTAATGCTAAAATCTGTTCGTCCATCAGTCCTTTTAGGCTTTCGCTAGGAATATTTAAAATAATTAGGATAGTTCATGTCAATGTGATCTTAAAACGCTGCTTCTTTATCATCATCTGTAACGAGGCTTGAGACAGTTACAGTTAGCAGGGTCGCGTTCACCAGACAGGTCGGGGAACGCAAGTGTCGCACTTACGCAGGACATCAGGGCTCTCTGGATACTCCATCCCCTGGGGTATTAGACATTAGGGTTCTATTAAAACCCCCATCCATTGGGGGCTCTCTGGACATTCATAGCTCTCTCTATTGAGTATTAGACATAAAAGCTCTGTAAACACCTCACCCACTGGAGTATTAGACATAGGGGCTCCCTAAATATCTCACCCACTGGATTATTAGACATAAGGGCTCTCTAAACACCTCACCCACTGGAGTATTAGACATAAGGGCTCTCTAAACACCTCACCCACTGGCGTACTAGACATAAGGGCTCCCTAAATATCTCACCCACTGGATTATTAGACTTAAGGGCTCTCTAAATACAACATTATGGCTAAATCACAAATACGGTATTTATTATATATATCGCTATGTTTCCCTGTAATATGTACTCAGGAGGAAGTGAGGCTCAAATTACAGCTTAACGAATTCATAAAACAAATCTTTAACTGAGAAGAAAATCTATAAATTAATTAGTCCGTTAAATTAGTATTAGGAGTTGAAGAATTAATAGTATCATAATCACAGAGCCTTGATGATCATAATCAGTGCCATCGACCGAGAATGCTTCTTTAATTTTCACGTGAACATTAAATCACTTCGTCCATACATAAACAATCGAGTGTTGAGTCAATTTTACATATTAACGAGTAATAATCACGAATAGCCATTTTAAACATTTAAATCAAGCCATTATCGACATCCGTGAATCGACGTTATCAGCATTCATTGAGGGCTTTGTTCTTTCAAGGTTTACTCTTAGAATAAATTTTCATATCGCATTCCTCTCATCATTTCCAACGCTATATCAATAGACATAATTAGCCAGAGAGTGCAAGGAATTGTAGTGATCTAGATTGTGATGTAGATTGTATCTAGATTGAGTGTATCTAGACTGCGAAGCCTAAAGTTAGAGGACATAATAATTAGTTATGGCTTCCTGCCTTTGCTCGGTTAGATTTACGAACAATTCATTTGGTAGAAATAAAGAAGGTAAGCATCAGTGAGAGGATTTTATGCCATGAAATTTTATGCAAAAACAAATCAATGTACTTCTGGACTATTTCTTAAAGGGTAACCTTGAGAAATCTCAAATTTCTTATTACTTCTAAAGGGTAACCTTCTCCACTACCTTTGTTGTTTGTGTATGAAGTAACTTTAGAAGCACTGGTCATCTAATAAAAATTAACTAAATCACCTCAACGCCAAGTCATTACACATTTCCACTCGACTACCTTTATTGTTTGTGTAAGAAGTAACTTTAGACGTACTGATCATCTAATAATAATTATCTACAGCACCTCAACACTACGTCATTACACATTTCCAGTTGCAGTGACTTCTGCTCTTAAGCCTCTAGTAGATGAAGATGCCGGTTGCAGCATAGGCAGCTAAGTATTGTAGTTCAGCGACAATACACTTCCCTCGCAATCTGTATTTCATTTCCTCGCTGTTATTGACTGTTTTTCAAAAGCTGTATCGAAACGACAACAGCTGCATCTTTAACAATGCAATGCCATCGAAAAACAATGTAGCCGAGTTAAACAGCATCAAAGATTTTATTAATTTATATTTACTTGCGTAAAAATATTGTCTCCGGATAGAATTTCCTTCATTACTGTGAAGCTCGATATGGTCGCGCGGATATGATCACCAAGATTGGCGTAGCGAGTTGAAGGGTTCAAGACTCGCAACTAGTTGTGAAAATTCTTCCGGTATTAGCAGGGTGGTCGGGTTGTTAGAAAAGGCGACGGGCCAACACAAATAATATATGTGTAGGGTTTATTTTAGCTGGATTTGCGAGCCATGTAAACCCTCTCTATTGAACCAATTAGTGTTGCCAAAAAGTTGACATGAAGACCTAAGCCAGTATGACTGCGTGTCGTTGTCGCACTTCAAGGATAAGTGAAATGTATAAATTAATGTTCGGTCTAAGATTATTTTATTGTTAACTCATTATGATTTTTCACACATGCGTAGCATGGCACTTTATACTTAGTAAATGAATATGCTTGGAATAGATCATAATTAAATTTAAAATAACAATTCTCCACTTGTAGCTACGTGGTCAATCAAAGATAGAATTCCTTCGATCCGCCGATCCGCAGTAGCGAACTGTAGCGAATATCTCACTACTGAAGAATATAATTTATTTAAAGGAACATCAACGCAAGACTCTAAACTCACTGTTCCGTTAATTTCAATCACTGAAAATCAAGATACAAACTAGGTGCATCATAACTTATGAAATTACTCTAAGTTCTCATGGAATATGAAAATTAACACAGGCTTCAAACATCATTATCCTAGAAGATGCCTGAAGATAACACGTACACAAAGACATAACCATTAGCACGCGAAGAGACTTTTATCATATCAATAACAAGACATGCAACAAGCTACAAATATTCATTAGTGACATACACATTATCAGCTAAACATGGAACACATTTCAACTCAGATCTCTAAGTGACCCTTAAAAGATATATTCGGTGGCGATGCAAGATTAACGAAAACGTTTTCATACTAAATAAGTTTCTTTCCAGTAACATTAAATAAACTTGCAGTAGGATTTTCAGCAATGAATAAGTCAACTTGCATCTTTCGGCAGTTTTAAAATGCCTGAAAATTGTAAAAAAAATGTCTTTTATGAAAGTGAAACCTACTACATAAATCACAGTCTTTGGAATCGACAATGGATGGATAATTTGTAGCAAGATCACTTGAAGCGTAATTAAGCGCTTCGAACATATCTTAAAATTGCTATGATGTCGAACCAGTAACAGCCAAAATTTCAGTTAAATCATTGCAAAATGCTACATGAAATAAGTGATCCATTACATAAACTTAATGAATGGATTGTTAAGATTCGCCTAACATCAATTGAATAAAATAATGAAATAAAGCAAAAGAGAATTACAATGACTTACGTATCACAATGCTATGACAATTTAATCTCTTGAATGAATAAATATCGCAATCATATGCCAATACTCTCTTTTTGACCTCAGTGCTCCATTTTACCAAAGTTATTCGCTCTCAATAAACGGCAGAAATGTTTTTGCTTCCTGGCGAAACACAAATCTTCCGTGATGGTCTCTTCATATTTTGTGATACCAGAAGAGCATGTAGTCGCCGTCGCTTGGGAACGTCTCTTGAACACCTGAGGCAAATGAAAATTATTTAGAAATTGAAACAAAATTTAAAAATCGGCCCGAAATATAAGACACTCGCTCATCTATGCTTCACTGCCGTGCGCAGATTCTCTGTTGTACGTTAGAGAATCGTACAAATATATAATCCATCTCCTCAAAAAATTAAATTCCCTTTAAAAATTCTCTTTTTATTGAGAATAGTAAGTGAAGATTCAAGTATTGTCCATACAATATTTTAATTTGGGTCTATCCATAAGCCACCTCATCTTTAATCAGAAGTTTGTACATCCAATACAAACCGTTTTACATACAATTCGAATCTTTTTTAAATTTAATTCGAACCGTTTTAAATTCAATTCGAACCTTTTTCAACGTCATGCATGTTACTGCCATGAAGAAAATTGGAGTTAAGCTACAAGTCTGTCGAGACATTATTAATTTTGTTCTTACCCGTGCCAACGACGAACTTGTTGTCCGGTTTGGTGCCCGGGACGGGCGGGACCGTGAGCCTGTAGAGCAGCCAGAACCAGTACCCTACCTTCTGCTCCCGCTGCCCCGAGATCGTGTGGATGTAATAACCGTTCGCCCAACGGCTAGCCGAGAACCTGCGAGGTGCCGTGATCTTTTGTTATATATCCGTAAATGATTAATTAATTTAGTACTTATGTTATCAGTCAGCTTGAATTGCAAGTTCACAAGGAATTTAAAAGCAAAGAAAACGCCGAGCAAATTCACCATATCGATGTTGAAAACGTATCGGAGTCGAGCGTCATTTGCCAGGCTGTTATGTTTATGTATATACCTATTAAAAATGAAACCTCCTGTTTTTTATGTTTACAGTTCCATCATCAGTTCGACAATCTAAAAAATGAATGCAACCATTTTATATTACAAAATTCTAAGTCAATCATTCAAACCTAAAAAAGGCATAAAACACAAAACAACCTTAAGTCGAAAACAAGCACTCGCGGAACAGAGTCATGGGACACACGAAAAAAATAGAAAACACGTTTTCAATATCGATATTGTGAATTTGTTTAACGTTTTCTTTGCTTATAAATTCCATATTAATAAATTTGTGATGAATGAGGAATAGCCCTCTTTATTTGTTATGTATGCACAGTGTCTACAAGGTTACTTTTATATACATGTATATCCGAAAATGACTAATTTATTTGTGATATATCGGGGATTGTCCTCTTAATTTGTTATATATGCTGAGGATCCATAAGGTTTCTTCGAAATCATGGAGTGTCTGCTAAATTATAGTCCTCTGCAAAACAAACTTTTTCAGGGAGACTTTTTGGAAAAAATGTTGCTTTAAAAATATTTTTTCTTGGAAAATATGTTAAACTTTCAGTAACATTTTTTTATTCTCGTTGAATGTTTAGTGTTAACTAGAAGAAAATGTAATGAGCAACCGCGGGGTTACGTTATCTGACATTTTGCTGAACTGCAATGGTTTCGCCTGAAGCAAGACGTCCGGAAAAGACTGTGATATCTTTGAAATTTAAGAGTGTCTTTCTAGTCATATAAGCACAGCGTATGATCGGAAGGAAGGTTATTATTCTTTAAGTGCATGAGCAGCACGAAATGCGAAATTCTCGATCAATAGTACCAGTAACTTGAACAATAATGGAGCGTTTGCCCCAGAATCTGACATGAAAGAATATGAATCAGTCTCAGTATCACTGCTTCTGTAAATTTTTTAGGTGCGTCTAAGTGACTTGCGGAGTTTCAAGCCACACCAACAGCTGCCATCTCATAATCACAAAACTAAAATTATCAATAAGAATAGACGTAAAATTGGCTTCTGACTCTGATGCCCCACAACCTATCTCACAGTTACACTCTAGAGTCTGTGTGCTCTGGAGTGCGTAGAAAGCTCGAGCTGGTTGTATGATATGAATGATAAGAACTCACTCGCTAGCTGGGCTGATCCCGACCTGTTCGATACCGAACGCATGTTCATCGAACTGTCAAAATATTAGAATTTTGATAATATAAGGGTCTCTCAGAATTTTGAGTTAAATATTATAAATAAAACAATGTCGCACTTAAAACAAGGCTCCAGCCTCAGGAAAAACGCCAAATTTCAAAAATAAAATCAATATTGCGCTCAAAACTGGAGTCTGTCTTTGAATTTTACTAAATGTCAGAAATCTGAGATTCGTTTCCTCATTTTACGATGAATTTTTCAAATAAAAGCAATGTTGCATTTGAATCTGAAGTCTGCCTCAGCAGTTTGTATTAAATGTTAAGAAAACCGATTGCGCATTCGGAACGAGTGTCCACCTTAGCATTATAAAATATTATAAATATTATAAATAAACACAATGTCGCACTCGAATCTTGGGTCGGCCTCAGCAGCCGTCTTCATGATGGAGAAGAAGGATGTGTTCACGGGCACGCTGAGCGTGAGGTTGAAGCTCTGCTGCGCCGAGTTGCCGATCCAGATGATGTACGTCACGTTTATCTGCAAAACAATACAGATCAGACGCTGGGTAGGAAATATACAGCCTATTGAAGTTCCGTAAGACTAGAGGAGAAGGGATGATGTAGACGATGAAACTTTTACTGAATACGAAGTGCGTGATCAGCGGCACGTATGAACTGATGAACTTATAGTAGTTATTCACACTGCAGGGAAATTTTTTACATCCGCGTGGTTATAGAAATTGATGATTGAGTATTAAATTATATGGAGCAGAAGGAACGAGTTACCAAATTTTAGCAGTCTCTCTCTCCAATTTTTACAGTAACAATGTGGGTAATTGAACACAATAAATTAGCTGCAGCTCTAGCCAATAATAACGCAAGCTTCCGGGAATGAATTATAAAATGCTGATCAGTTGAGGCGGATCAATGTATTCTTATCTGGCAAGTATAGACAAGTAGTTTCACTAATCTATCCAACAATTCGTTCAAGATATAACGCAATTAATGTCAGTATGATATTCAAGGAAGACTATCAATAAAATTACTGACCTATTTATCTCCTTTAATGAACCTTAAACGAGAGTTCTTTCAGAGAAATGTGAACAAAAGTTCTCAAAACCCTATAAAATGAGTGTTCGCTCAATTTTATATACCAATACTAATCACAGCTACGAGGATAGTGGCTTGAATAGGTTAAACGCAGAAGCTTCACTGAGCCGACAACCTCACACGGTTCAACCGCTGGTGTTAAGCCAGTATATTAATTGGTCTTAAACGAGCGAACACAGAAGCACAAACACGCATTTAAATGGAACAAGCAAGTGAAAAACACATTCGCACAAACTTTAATTAAGTTAAAGCAGGAGGTCTCCTCAGAGGCAAGGCTAAGGTGATACTAATTCCGATTAAGCTACTGATCAACGATTTTGTCTCCTAACACGAGATTAACGATAAGCGAACAAACAATAACGACGTAATTAGAGAACAAATTTTAGCACCACCTAAGTTGTAGAAATATATTACAATTATTATGTAAGTTTATGGAAATTTTTTGGGTGTTAGAAAACTGTACAAATGTGAAATTTTTACATTAGGGCGATATTTGTTGTTTTTGAGTGTATTTGTGATGTTTTCCCGGTAATTTCGAGTAAGCATACACGCAGCGAGAAATTGTACATTTATGCTAAGAATGAGGATTTTGACGGAGAACTTTAACACGATTTCAATTAATTATGAGACGATACTTGTTTATATCAAGAAAAATTATGAAGATGTTTGTTGTCGCCCGCAACTCTAGCATAAAAAGTTTGCTGTCCTACGTACTGACAAAGTTCAACAATAAAAAATTTCTTGTCAAGGCTCGTGCATGTAGCTTTGTTCAAAGTAATATTATCTCATTGTAAACTGGCAGACGCATAAATTTGCACCAAAGGATATGCATTGTCGTCAAGCACTAAGACCTGCATCAATCTGCAGGTCTTAGCGCTTATTAGGCAAATGCCCGTAGTGTTTGGTCGTGACAAGCCCCTTCATTACAGAGCAGCGCAGAGCTTAATGATTCGTCGTGCCGAGCATCTTCATTACAGAGCAGTGCTTTGAAATGCAGAGCAGTGCAAAGAAATTCAAATCAGTGCAGAGCTAACACAACTACTTTTGTGAATGCATCGTCGGCTACAACTACAACTATATAGCATTCAAATACTCGTATGTAATACAACTATACAGCATTCAAATATGTAATATACAGTCATTTGCAAAAGTTTAAGACCACCCTCCAAATTTGGGCTTTTTGCATTACAAAAGGATATCGAGGCAAAATATTCAAACTGTTTGTATTTGATGAGACAAAGTAAATAAATAACAAGCAATTTATGATACATTTGATATATTCAGTACTTACTTTGTCCCTATTTATTGTCAATAACAGCCTGGATTTGTTGTGGCATACTGCTGATAAGTTTCTGACAGTACTCCTTAGATAATTCCGAGCACCATACCTGCTTAATGCATTCTTCTGATGACTTCAAATTTGAAGGCTGCATTGCTGCTACCTTATCCTTCATGACTGACCACAAATTTTCAACTGGATTCAAGTCTGGGCTATTTCCAGGCCAATCCAGCAATTCAATGTTGTTTGAGGTAAAAAAATCTTTCAACTGCTGGGCCCGATGGCATGGAGCACCATCCTGCATAAAAAATATTACACTGGGGTCATCCCATGTGTAGTGCAAGCTTTTGTTGAAGCAGCTTGAGGTACCTTTCTCCATTCATGATTGTTTTCTGAGGCAGAAAGTACAATCCAGCTGTCCCATTATGGCTAAATGCCCCCCAATCTATGACACTGGGTGGATGTTTCATGGTAGGTACTGTATATTTCTCTTCAAATCTTTTACCAACTTGTCACCTAATGTGTTGATGCTGTGACCCAAACTGGTGAAATGTACTTTCATTTGAAAACAACACTGTGTTTCACTTGGCAACCATCCAATCTTGATATCTCCTAGCAAAATTCAATCGCTTAATTTTTATGGCAGGAGTTAACTTTGGTTTTTGGGCCGGCTTGAAACTCTTTAGGTGAAATTTTTTGCTTTAACGGCGTAAAATAGAACTGATGATCACCGCACATCTTTTCTGAAGCAATATTCCTTGAATTTTCCAACTGGAACTTGTTGGAGATCTTGCAACAGTGAGCTTCATGATGTTGTCATCACGGCTGGTTGTTTTCCACGTATGCTCCGACTTCTTCTTGTCTGAATACTGGCCATCATGTTCAAACTTGCGTATTGCATTGTTAACTGCAGTCTTGCTACATCTCATCTTTGAAGAAATCTGGCGTTCAGAATAACCTTCGTCATGTAAGAGTTCAATTTGAGCCCTCTGGACTTAGGTAACAGATGATTTTCTGCCCATTTCTTATAAATGAAATTTCTGCTGTCTTGCAGCTACAACCTTCTCTTGTGAATGCTGGAAGGTAAGACACGCACAAACACACTTCTCCGAACGCCTGCGGCTCAAATTTGCACACCACCCATCCAAGAAGGGTTATTTCTGATTTAGGTCAAATTCTGTGGGTGGTCTTAAACTTTTGCAAATGACTGTAATTACACCTAATACAATAACTAATTATTCATGGAATGGCCTGCTTCTAGGATGTAAAGAACTATGAATATAAAATTTATTACTTTTCGCAATCTTTAATCAATCTTACTCGAAAAAAATTATTTTAACATTTTTAATATCGGGATTAGATTGATTTTCTTCTATTCGTGTATCGAATATAGTAAATGCTGTACATCGAGAGCTATCAAGACGGAGCTCGTGGCACAAGCTAAACTTATACTACTTTCATTCAACTCGCTTATTTCATTCAACTCGCTTATCAAAATGTTTGAGCGCTTCAAGAGATTTATTCATTTTAATTCTGAGCCATTATTTTTTTAATTAACACATGAACATCGTGTTATCCCGCTCCTCAGCTTAATCGTGCATTGTACGTCATTTCAGCCACGGAGGAGCAGCGAGCTGATGCAAACAAGTTTTACAATAGACTGTCATATATTTCAATATGACGCTTTACTGTGACGTTGAATTGGTGTACTTGATGTTCACTTTTCGACCACAAATCTGTATTACAAAATTTACACCTGAAATGAAGCAACATTCTCTCAAGACAATACCCAGAAAAAATTTATAACTATCATTCTACAATTATAGCAAAACTGCCTTAAATTGTTATTCTGACTATTAGATCAGCAAAGATATCGTAATTATGATGACTGTTACCATGGTGGGCGGAGGTGGAGGTATCACGGACGTGGCAGGCTCGACGGTGAACCTCTCGTAGACGACACCGGCTGCCATCTCACCTTCATCAAACTCCACCTCGTTAATTTCGTCTGTGTCTGCGGTGAGAAAACGCATCAAGTAACTTTAGCTGAGTTATGTGCTAATGTACATCCACATGATCCAAAATAAAAATAAATAATTATTTACAGCGCATATCTACAATACTGATCCTTTCGAGCCATTAATTACAGAAATCTAAACTCATTTTGGTTTTTGGATCGTGAAGCATCTAAAAAACGTATCGGTGGGAGAGAGAACTGAAAATTTTTAATGGGAATTTTATTGCGGTACATGTTCACTTTATTTGTAAAATGAAATTTCCTTCGAATATCAAACTAAGATTTTAATAGAAACTCAACACATATACGATTGGTCTTTGCTTTCAAAACTTTACACTGGATTCAGGATACAGAATCCAGAATAACTGAATTCTCAAATGACAGATAACGTCACGCTAAGCTGCTAGTAATAATATATAATTTAGATATAATATAATGACAAAAATATCAAAGGAAATATATCACATAAAATAATAAGTATAACATATTTCATCTGCATAATAAGAAAAATGAAAGTAAAATATTGGTTGCCAAAAAAAACTCTGGTCACCAAACAAAATATCTAGAGATATAAACATAATATACATTGACGTAGATATCAACGTTTTAACGCATCCTAGACATGAATATTATTTGATTATATTTTTCCATCTAGGAACCATATTATCAACTCATATCTCACAAAGTGGGTTGGGTGTGCGATGGCGTGGGTAGTGGGGCTGCATGAGGCAGGGCTGGTCCCCCACCCCCAGCAATGTCCTCCCCACCAACAGAGGCAGGACGGCATTTGTGTCGAACAGCCCACCGAAGGATCCGTCCGCCCTCTGGTGACTCATCAGGTATTCCTGCGCCAGGGTGGCATTCCATGAACCTCCTAAGTCACTCGCCAGCAGCGCCTGCGCAAAAAATTTTAGTACATAAATAAATAGTTTAAAATAATGAAATGCAAATTATATTAAAAATATATTAACGAACAATGAAAGATTATAAACGAAAAAAATAAGAGCAACCTTTTTATTTCCTTTAGGAGAAAAACGTGACATTTATAATTGTAACTATGGTTTTATGAAGCCATGCCTCATAACTCAACCTCCCGAGATCGTTCAATAAATTCTTAATCTCTGTGGTCTTGAATTTTCGAGGCTACCTGTTGACCTATGGACAGAAAGCCATTATTCAAAACTATCTGTCTATAGGTCAGCAAGGAATGTCCATATTAAACAATATATTCATCGACCATTTGCCGTGCTATCAAAATTCGCTCTGGAACGCGTAGAGACCATTCTGGTCTGTGATTGGTGGGTTTCGTTTGAAAAGCTGTTGATGATTGGGTCAGGTAGTTAATAACTTGTACTTAATCTTGAAATTACGACTCCTGTACATATAATGTGATAGACGCGACAAATGTACTTCTTCATTTATGCTGCACAAAGTAAACTAAGCCTTCGGTTCGAAATCCGTGGATTTTAACTGGTGTAAAAAATGGGAACCCGAAAATAATTTGAGGGCAAACGGTGGAAAATAAGTTTTTAAAGTACTTTCTAGTTTATGTGAATTTATTCTGACACAACTGTGACCTGCAAAGCAAGTGCAGTCGTGTGCAAGTTTCCTCCAAAAGAACCGTCCTGCGCTTGTGCCTTGAGCAGGACATCGATGGCTTGCTCGGTGTAGGCCAGCAGGTCGTGATGACGTCGCTTCTGCGCGCAGTGAAGCGCCAGCAATGTCACTGACAACGTGTCTGTAGCAGAACACTTACCATGACTTATAATCTTAATGTTAATTCAAACTAGAAACATCTATGACAGATAACTGGGTCAAATGAGTTAGAAATATTTAGTCTATGAGAGAATTAATCACTTTTTATTAGAATAGGCCATTTGATCAATTTCGACCAATTTACATGAATAGAGCTATTTGCATTCCAATGAATTTACTTAACGTGGAATAAAGCGATTTCAAATGTGGCACACCGGATTTACGCATCGAAAATCGGTGTTCGCACTGTACGATTCACGGCTTGATTGGAAGAAATGAATCACCAGTTGAATCTTAAGCGTATTGAATTGTTGATTATCATTATCGTATGATCATTGCCATCAGTAGCATCAAATTTTCTATTGTTTCTCACCGTGTTTCATTCTAATTTAGTATTAGTACCTTAAAAAGTTCAAGTATAAACTTTGTTTGTTCGTAATCTCTTTGAATACGTTCAATGCCAGACGATACACATAAGTGCAATAGAGACCCAAAATTGTCATATTGGCTCATAATTATTACTATCAATTCCCACCGATTGAGTGTATTTTACGCTGGTCCGCGATGATGCTTAGGAGGGTGCGTATACTGCGCTTGCGCACCTTCCTGCCTGCGCTGCACACCGCCAGCTGCCCGAACGCAACCTCGAAGTCCACTATCCCGTCCTGGTGCTCCAGCAGACCTGGGGGGGGGTAGGTCTCTTGTTACCATGAGGATAATTTAAATATTCTTATTATTAGGCTTATTGTTATTCGAAAATTGACTGTTGTTGTTGGGTGGATCATCTAATCTGTGTTACCGCGAGTTTAGACTGGATCGAAAAATTTTTGTTGTTGATTATTTTCGTGCCTTGATAATCCTTTGCGAGATCATTATTCGCAGAAACCCGTGCATAACATCAAGTTGACGAACGGTAGCAAATCCTAAAGTTATCGTAAGTTTTATTCAATTTGTTTTTTCTTTCTGTATATTTTTTTGCATATATTTTCCTTTTCTTTGGCGACAGAATGGGCTTAATCGCTAAATTTGCAAACATTCGACAAATGAAAGAAACAAAAAACAATAAAAAGTTTACCATTTAAAAAAATTTTGTGAAACGATTCCAAATTTGAAAGCGAAAATAGTATTGTCATTGCATTCCAGATAACGCCTTTTTTTTAATTATTGTTACGTACATAATATATATAATTGATAAGATCATCGATATTGTCGGCCAGCCGTTTTTTGCTGTCAACTCTTTTTCTTGCAATTTCGTCGTGAGGGTCATTTTTGATCATTAAACTCTGGCTTTACACGAGCTTTTCGTCGTCGCTGGAATTTGTCGGAGGCACAGAGGCATGGCAGTTCATTGACATGCAAGCGGCGTCGCGCGGCCAGATAGCCCATAAAACTTTTATCAGACCAAATTGCTGGCGCTGATGGAGTGCAAATTGACTTCCTGAATTGAAATGAAATGAAAAGAAAGCTCAACTTTTCCATGAAAATTCGCCCTGAATCCACGATGGTATAGTGTGTCTTGCTTAATAATTCCCTTCAAATGTTACATTCTACAAATGTAACTTGTCATGCATTACAAATGTCACCATCTCAGGGCATTGAATAATTTTCTGCATATCTGGTCAGTGATCTCATGAGATCTCTCATATTACTTCCAAATTTCAAAGCGGGTCAAGAAGCGTAGAAAGAAATGAATTCAGGGCATTTATAATTTTTTAAAATTTTCTGAATTGACTCATTAGCTTGTATCTCATGACCCCTATCACTCCGACCTCCGGTACCGTAGCAGCGCAGAGCACTTCTAGCCTCAACCTAAAATTTCCCTAAGGGCACTGAAGGAAAATTTCAGGGTAATTTAAGTTTACTTGGAGACTCATAACCTTCCCTCGGCATGACAGGATAAAATTCTGACACTGCAGCCAATTAGGAGAAAATGCGGCAAGAGGTTCCACGAGGAAAGCGACTTGACCTAAAAATAAAGGCCCTTGTTTTGCTGTGACCTGAAAGGGAGGGTGCATTAAGGCGGCACTTTCAGACTACGTCTGGAAAAACAAGAGAACTGTATGTATTTATCTTTATGGGAAATCATTCTACTCTGATATCTATATATTTTGTGATTGGTAAACACCTCAATAATTTATAGTATTTGAAGAGACATGTAACCACAATGAAGGGTGGGTGAAAAACTTTTTTCTAAATGTTGTGATTAAATCTTGATGATGATCAACTTGATGATGTAATACGTGACGTACAAAAAAAAAATTTATGTTTATTCTTTCCTCAGTAGCACTCGTTAGGCTTATTTTTATTCCGAGAATCACTGAGTTAGAAAAAAGTTACAATTAATCAATGAAAAATGTCCTCAATCCAATGTGTGTAAGTTTCCTTCATTTTCCAATAGTGCCTCGAATCCGCTGGCACTTTCTGCCTAGAGCGATGGCTGATTTTCTCGTCCAGTATTGATTTGATGGAAGTGCGCGTGAATTCAGTGCAACTTGAGCCTTATTGAGAATCATAGTCGACACATGGTCAGCCAACCAAAATCCATTGAGCGGTTACCGATTTCCGCCCATTGTTTCAAATTCAGTTCCAATTGACATTCTTATTTGGCAGTGAGTGTTAGCTTGAGAGGTGCTCTACAGCGGGACCATTTTTAAAATTAAACCATCTTCAGCGGCCATGTTTCCACCAATGTACTTTTCGTCGCAGTACGGCCGTTATTTCAAATAAAGGAAGACGCTCGGCACTCATTTCCTTACGATAAAGTGACGAAAAATTGCAGAAATGTCACAGAGAGACCAGGTCACCAGATAAAGTATAACATGAACTTCAACGCTAGAGTCATAACGAAAAAATTCTCGTAAACTTTAAAATTACTTTAAAAACTCTTCAAGGTTCAGATATGTGAGCAAATAATTTACAGGTGATAATAGTGCAAATATCAATAGAGTTAAAATTATTCAGCCATTTTATTAATAGACTTTCATCAAGTAATCAAAGTGACCAAATTATGTATGAAAAAATTATTGGCGTATATTTTTTGTTACTAAACTGCACTTCAATTAACAGCTCAAAAGACATTGAAAGCAAATAACTATTAGAAATTTACAATTTTCTGTTCCCTGGACCTGGAAATTGGCAGCACAAAGTACAATTCCGGAGAAGCTTTTGTTCGAGCAGCTCGAAGACTTCGTTCGACTCTGAGCGCTGAAAACTTCGCGCGGAACTGAGAGAAAAAAAGCTTTGTAAAAAGATTCTGAGGAGACTTCAGAGAATTGCTTCAGGATTGTCGAGTGCATCACTTGGTGTCTCGCACGACTCTTGCTGGTCATGAACTGAAAATTTTCTAACAGACAATTTGATACTCCGATGCTGCTGTAGACTGTGAATAATTGCTTTACTCGTCATAGTTTCCCAGTTTAGTTCATTTATAACTTGCAATTAAGTATTAATTACTCACTGACAAGATCCTTAAAGTGTCCGGCCCTAGACCATTACTAATTCTTAAAGATATCTAAACTGAACTGCAGAATATACTATCATTAACAATTAATATTTAAGTTTCAATTAATGCACCAACAACTCACTGACAAGATCCTTAGAGTGGAAGGCCCGGGGGTCCCGGCAGAGCGCGACGAGCGTCATGATGTTGAGGGCGAGGTGGCCTGTAGTGAGGGGCACCTCGTGATGTCTGGAAGGGACAACATCGATAAATATTATGGGTTACTTATAATATATTAATTATTATATTACCAGTCGGGGTGAAATGGTCGGAGTTGTACATTTCTTTTAAATGTAATTAGGTAGAGAGTTTGATAATTATCTCAATATTATATCATCAGCCATGACTGAGGGTGTGGGTATACATTGCTTTTAATTGAAGTAACATAGAAATTATATATAGGACTTATATACATATAGAAATTATTAAAATATTAAATGGGTAGAATAGATGTGAAAGAATCAGACGTAATTAGCGTGAATATAAAATACCATCAAATAACTGTTACATGAATCAAATAGACCTCCTTCTTCTTGTTACAACTACTAACCTAGAACGAATTTTCCCGAAAAATGAAGTTAAACCATTAAAAGAAGCCGTCAAGTTTTTTTCTCTTTCTCTACTCAATGCTAATGTTAATTAATTCAACAGTGGTATGAGATATAAAAAATTTAATAACTGGTTAGTAAATTAATGTTTACTTTAGGCGATTATACTGAAATTCCTTCTGTTTAAATATTTACTGAAAACCACTTCTTATATATACTAAATATATAATAATTCCTTTTTGAAAGCATAAAGCCACAAAGACAACTACATGATTGATATAAAACATAGGTTTGATGAAACGGCCTGATTAATAATTAATGAGTAGTACAGGTAACTTCAAGAGCCAGTAGCGAGCCTGCTTACCATGAATTTGCATGTTTCGCTTCTGCTGAAAGGATTTTTAATTTCTGGAGCAAATATGCGACTGCACTCAGCCTAACGTCAAGTGACATGAAGGCTTCATCAGGAAATTAAGCATTTCTAGTGCCTCTGTTAACTGTAAAACTTGTAACGTAAACATGAGCAGCTGAAAACGGGTAAACTTTGATCACAATAAGCAAACTTTCCACTTCAAATGAAGTTAAGTATCTTGTAAGCGGGTTAAAGCTTAATTTTTACCATCAAGTCTGGAGCTGAGTACAGTAATCGAATCGTTGGGGTATCTACTGATGAATAATAACCAGTCGTATCATGAGATCGCGTCGTGTTATAAATTGTCAAATCCAAAAGTTCAGAGTATCACTATCACATTAAATGTGTCACCACACCTCAAACCAATCATGCTCCAAGCTCCAATCGTCTTACTTTGCTACAATCAAAATGCTCTTTGCTCCAACCATCACGCAACACCTCCACAGCCGCAGCACGAGCTCCAACCATCACCCGCACCTCCACAGCCGCAGCACCAGCTCCAACCATCACCCGCACCTCCACAGCCGCAGCACCAGCTCCAACCATCACCCGCACCTCCACAGCCGCAGCACCAGTTCCAACCATCACGCCGCACCTCCAAAGCCGCAGCACGAGCTCCAGCTCGAACTGCTTGGTGACAAGCTGCGCCTCCAGGTTGCTGGGGTCGAGTATCCAGGATGCGTTGGCCAGGGCGAGGGCGAGCACCGTGTGCGCCGTGTCCTCGCCCCACCCGAAGTCCTGCGTCATGCGACTCATGACCCAACCCACCGCCTTCACCTCCGCCGCCCGGGCAACCGCCATGCCCGGACTCTCAGACTGGGCCTCCTCCAGAGAGCGTGTGGGAGCCGTCACATCTGGACACGAGGGGGAACTTGCGTAATTAGGTTCATACTTAGAAATGAAATGGAAATCGAGTGGTTGTTGCAATCGTAGCAATAGAGGTAATACTTAATTAATTGGATAATCTTTTCCAGCACGAAATTGATAAATTACAATACTGGATCACTCCAAAGTGACATACAGTATGTACCTAAGCAGCAATCAACATTCTAAGCGCTGCAATAATTGTGAGCATAAATATATTTTAGCCTTATGCTAATTAAATACTCTATATAAAATGAATGAATGAGCATAAATGTAGCGCATCAATTTGGTCTTGGCTGTAGATGACATTCGCTCGACAAGTTTAATTGGCAGTACATTGAACGCGTAAACAAACACTGCTGTCCAGACTGGTCGAAAAAGTAAAATTTATATTTTTTTGTCACGTAGAAACAATCAAGAACTGCGAGTCGTCACTACGTCCAAGCCGGTCTGAAGAATCTGAACTCAAATAAACTTCAATCCACGGAGCAAAACATCGCGTTGGGCTCAGAATAACAATTCTGTCCTAGCTCTTCTGTAATTGAACGCTAATCCACTCTTTTCGGATCACATTAGCCTAAAATGATTACTGAGAAGAGTATCGTTCGTGGTACAATTTCCTTCTTTACAGCGATATCAGATAAGGTAAAAAACTAACATTATACTGCAACTGATTGCAGACCAAATTTATCGTGTCAAAATCGAAGTAATTGATCTCAATTATTATGAAATATACTCGGAGTTTTTGTAATTTTTTCTAGGTGTTTTGTGAGTATTACTGAGATTGTAGATTATCATATGTACGTAAATAATTATTATAATAAAAATAGAAGTAGATTTTGCTATTAGCTCTTTGATTGACGACTCAAAGTTTCAATATTAGCCATTGCTACCAATTTTATATGAGGAGTGTTGTAAGTAAGCGATGCAACATAAGGCTTCTGTTACCTCTAGGGGTACACTTCCGGTAACCTCACCACGATACCCTTTCGGCTTTCCCTTACCGCGTACGATTTAAATAAGACAAAGTGGTTAGGCGTTCAAGATCTTTATATGCAGACTATAGGACGTGAGAGCTTTCGCAGAGCTGAGGGCCCTGAGACAGAGTGGTGGCAATCATAACATGGAGAGTGCATCATAACGCCGGGCTGAGCGGAGTGTGCTGTAATCCTTGTTTGTGTTGGGTGAAGGGCGCTGAGGGTCTTATGTATGTTGCGATGTGTTGTATGCTTTTAGGTTGTGTTGGCCTCTTATCAAGGGCAGACGTCAGCGTTATGTAGCGCGGACACTTTATCAGGGTTTGCATACAGAAGTTGATTAATTATCCCCCGTGACGATGTTTTGAATTATGGGGAAAAATAAGCTGCAGGCTGACGCCAAACCCAACTGCTGCTCGTCAAATAAAATAAAAAATCTCACCCGTTATACGTCAGCACCGCTGAAACACAAGCTGGTTGTGTCGGCACAGCTGGTGCTCGTTTAGCATTAATGCGGGCGAGAGTCTCGTTTGATTACCAGAGGGAAGCTGGGCTCTAATTTGTCGTCCTGTAGCTGACGTTGACTTGGATTGTGGACACGCATCTTCATAACACATAACAATACACCACTGCATAACACACCACTGCATACAGCACACCACTGCACAACACACCACTGCACAACACACCACTGCACAGCACACCACTGCACAACACACCACTGCACAACACACCACTGCACAACACACCACTGCACAACACACCACTGCACAACACACCACTACACAGCACCACACGGAAGCGTCCGCTTTGATGCATTTAGAATTAATTAATTTTCAATCGTCACGCTGATGCGCTCGAGCTGCGAGACAATTCATGGATCGAGTCACAGCAAATGAGCAGCAGCTTTTGATGTCTAGATATTTAATAGATGATTATAATGAGCTTCACTAAATAAATAATAAACACCTATAAACGATAGTGAATAAAGCCTGAGCAGCTTGATAACGTTGCAGTAAAATTCAATCCAACTCTCAACCTCTTAAAAAAAAGTTGAGTGATAAAATAGAACTATGATTCAATATAAGTTTATGGGATGAAATATAATCTAATTCAGTGTCCCTCTCACCTGCATCGCTGTCAGCGAAAGCTGTCACCGCCAGCAAGACTGTCAGCGACAGCACGCGCGCTGGCAACACCGTCATGGCGTCCAGAGTTTAATCTTGTTCCGGCAGAGCAGAAGAGCTAAACAAGTTTTGATCTTTCGAAATTGGGATTAGAAATCTTCGTTACATCCTGAAATAAATTGGATTGAACTCTGAAATAAGAATTTTTTAAGCTTTTGAGAGTTTGTAAACGTGGAAACGCAAAAGAGGTTTAAATGGTTTTAATGTTGAACAACACCAAAAACATTGCTTTAACAGTAACAGATAAAACATCTTTAAAACTTCCACCAGAATACGCTTCCACTCAATAGCCATAGTATGGACCCAAAACTGTGAACATGTGAAAAAATTGTAAAGTAAAGCCCCAAACTTTCGCACTTCCCAGCAAAGGTATTGCATAGGTTTGTTATGTATATTACTACCCAGTGAATAAAACGTAACACTGAAGAAGGAAAGTATGAACAGTTTCATATTAGTCCTCCAGCCTCGGGTTCTGAATAACTTGGCAGTACGGACGGATTGCTACCTCCAATCATCAAAGTTTCTGGGCCGTGGCAAGCCGCGTTACAACTCCTTCCAACTGACGACAAAGTTGTGCGCGCTTCTGCTCAATCATATGAGCATAAATTACCTGCCAAAATCGTAAGGGACTATTATACACTGAAATATCTTTCTAGTGTTTAGGATCTAGTGTTTACAATTATGACCTGAATTATCTTTCTGCCATCTAGATTCAGGATCTAGTGATTACTATTATACAATTAATTCTCTTTCTTTCATCTAGATTCAGGATCTAGTGCTTACAATTATGACCTGAAATACCTTTCTGCCGTCTAGTCAGAATCTGGTAACGACAATTATATACTGATATATCTTTTCGAAATCTAGAGTCTGTATCTGGCGATACCTGATATTCATTTGACTTTCTTCTGAAGCATTTATAGATTAGAAACAAATATCACTTAAAAAATATTTAAAAATTAATATAGAGATTTTTATCATACATTCAGCTGCACAATACGAGTCCTTTGTCTGAAATAATTTTCCTTGAATTTAACACAGTGGACCTCACACTGGAGATCTGACGATCTCGCAACTTTTTTGGCCGTTGCCCAACTCGTTGATGTCTTCAAGAGTTTGCCCCACTAAGGCCCTCGTAATCTTATTAGTAAAATCATTCCAGCTCTATTGTTTCCCCCGACGGCGTCCATTGTGCTGAGGTCAGCGCAGCTCAGCTCGTCCTCACATCTGCACCGCTGAACAAAAGGACAGCCGCGAGCTGAAGGAAGATATCCGACCTTCAAGGACTTGTGAAGAGCATTGTTCAGCCCTCCAACGTATCGTTAAAAGAACGCATCAGCAGTTCGACATCTCGTTAAAAGGACGCTTCATCCCTACCCTGTCTCATTTGAAGGAAGCATCAGTCTTCCACTGTCTTGCTGTAAGGACTCATCAGTCTTCCGCTGCCTTGTTAAAAGGAAGCATCAGTATACGTATTCATTGGTACGGCCCTTGTATACGATAAATGACATCACCAGATCATCCCATGGTCCGATCTCAGCAGGCCTCAATACTAACATTCCAGCAGCAGACGCTAGGCGAGAGTCAATTTGCAGTGTCCTCTTGGAGGGGCGGGACGAGAGCTCTTTGCCAGCTACATCATGGCCGCTACTCAACCCGAAGACAATTCTCCTCGTCGCTTTGCATAAGCTGTGCCCTCGGCAGGAACAATCCGTCTGTGGACTGGAGGCAATATCTGAAGTTTCGGAACAACTTCTACGGAAGACGTATTTTTGTGCTGCTCAGTTTGTCAATTCGCTGCTTCTACTCGGACTAATTTCCAATTGAGTGGGTTGGACTTGACGTAGCCATCTACACGTATTTATATAGAGCGACAGTGCTTCGATTAGGCTCAGTATTGCCTCTACGACTAATGAATTTATCTTTGTATTTGTTTTTTAAACGTACTTATGCATTTGTAATTTCGCAATTTTATTACTGATCTATTCTTGTTCATTCCACGTGATTCCTAAAGCAAAAAGCATCCTTTCTTACAGGTTTAAAGTCTTAGATGCAGCATAATGATAATTACAAATATGATTTTTGAATCAAATAATGAATTAAAGAGTGTGATGGCGAAAAATACATTAGTCAAATGAATGCTGATCAGTGTTCAACTGAACCCTCAGAAGGCATCAGGTGCTCCGGAAGATGGAACGTCAATTAGGTCAATGGCGTCCAAAAATCATCCGCAATCTTCAATCGTAAAGTCCTCCAAAAACCGAAAATTTCAATAATGAACATGACTGCAAAGACCAACATGTCCGTCAGATCAATGTTGCACATAATTTAGGCGGTTGAAGATGCCTCAGTACAAGCATCAACAGAAGATGATTCTCTCTGACAATCCTTCGTGGTAAAATCCACGGTCCTCCATCAATCCTTCTTGAGTGATGCAGAAAAATTGCAAACGCATTAAATCTTCGAAATGCAGCAAATGTTCAACGTGCAGATTTTCCACTTTCAACAAAGGTTCAACGCGTGCCATATGTTCAAAGTACAACAGATTTTCGACGTGAAGCAGATGTAAAACGTGCAGCACATGTTAAACGTATAAAGTAAATGTTCACCGCGTGCAACTGATATTCAACGTCCCACAAATATTCAACGTTGAATGGATGTTCAAAGTACAGCACCTGTTCAATGTTCAGCAAATATTTATCGCTTAGCAAACGTTCAACAAGAAGTAGATGTAAAATATTCAGATATTCAACTGATGTTCAATATGCAGCAGATATTCAACGTGCAGCTAATGTACAGGATGATCGGATGCGGACAAAATTCAACAATTAACCCTGCTTCCATGGTGGCCCCTACATCAAAATGAGCCTCGACATTGCTGGTGAGTGCTGACCAGACAATTCAGACAATATCAACTGCTTTTTGGTATATTTTATGGGCAGAAGGTTCGAATATTTCTCAACTTTATTCATCACTGATTCTGAAAAGAAAACCGTTTTCAGTTCAGTGACACCCTTGGCACTGATATGATGAGGTCATGCCCTGGTTCTTGCCAATACTCTGGACTTCTGGCACTCTGCCCAGCACCGCCTAAGGAACCTCCTGCTTCTAAAGGCTCTCAGGAGAATTCATGAGGTTTTGTTACCTGAGAATAAGCTAAAAATCATCTATCATCGGAATAATTTTACTTACTTGACGTAGATTCTCATGGCAACAACCTTTAAACTGCAAACGACTGGAGAGAAACTAGAGTGGGAGGAATTTTTAACAACAAATCTTAAACTCAATTTTAAAAATCTTTCGAAGCGTCTATTCGCTTGAAAATTCTCGACTCTTCTGACTTACTACTGTGGTATTTCGACGTACCTGAATGCGTGAGCCATATAACGTTGTTTACTATAAACGGTGAATTTCGTAGGGTTTACAAGAGCTGAAGAATCATCGTGAGTAGAACTTAGTTCCTTTTGCTGTAGTATAAAAAATTTCGCTTTGTCCCTGATTTTCCTTGCTCGTGGTATCGCCCTAGATGAACCGAGCGCTACGTTAAAATCGTTATTATTGAATATTTCTTCATACATTTACTAATCTTAAGAAATATATTTTCTTCATCTACGGTATTTTTATGGAAGTACGGTTTTCTTACGAAAAGCAATCCGAACTCTCATTTTTTTTAATTCATTGTGGATGCGAACCTTGAAATCACCCGCCTCCCGAGGTCTAGAGCGCTTGAGCCGGAATAGGACACCTGATTGTAGTGACGCACGATTTAAATTATTAGTTAACCCTGTGATAGCAAGTTACCAGGTTCCAGCACCTGCCATCATCATTCAGCACATACAGTACAACGAAGGAACTGACAACGAGTAGTGCTGTATCCCACTACATACTTCAACAGCAAATGAGCTGCGTGGCCTCATTGCGTCAGCTCGGCGCAGCCTGCTGAACCATTCTAATCTAGTCTGAAGTTATTAAACGCTTGATGGACAGCTTGAAACTTCCCTAATCTAAGGCCTTCCAGGGACTCTCCGTCAACACCGACAATGCTTCCAAAAATGGGACCGGCGATTGCGACGGGTGACTTAACACTAGATTTGTATCTAAAAGGAAATATGATTGTCTCATTCTAAAAAAATTATAGGCATTATATGCGAACAATTTTTAAAGTAATTAAGCAATGCCACGAAAGATAATTTTTATTTAGATTACCCATGCTTATGCCGTTGTGGTGGCCAATGACGCCGGCTCGCTGCCAAAGACCTCGGCAGCGATTCATCTCAAAGCTTCCAATATTTGCGATCTCCCCTTGTGGCGCCTTTTTTTCATTCTTTTACTCTATTGGAACGCACTTGAAGTGCGCAGTTTCTGTGATGATTTTATTTCAGTTGATTGGCGATAACAGCGAAGGAAGAGAAATTAATTTGCTACATGCAGGGAGGCCTACGATGCAGAAAAATGTTACACGTAATTGAGAGTCAAGCATTGCTTTTGAATTTTTTGCGATCATACGGACTAACTCCAAATCATTTTATAGTATTTGTATTCGACCCATAAATTCTCGGTTTATTTCAATCAAGTTTGATTATATACGGACCATGCATGAACAGTTTAGCCTGACGCACTCTATTAAATAGAAAAATATGAAAGCACATTTTAAATCTTTTTTTACATGAGCGAGTACTGGTCAAAAATATTAAAAAAAACAGATCAAGCTTTCCTTCAGCGTTTGTTTGTGGATCTCTACATCTTGCACCAAAAGCCAATACTTTGTGCAGCACAAAATTAAAAAAAAAACTCGTCTTCAGAAACGAGTCCCATCTGAAAATTTCTCTCGTGTCAAGGGAGTCTTCACTATAAACGCTTGGCGTTATCTCGGTCGTTCACGTTTCGCCTTTAAATTTTTTAGCTGTGTTGTGACTGCAAGTTTCCTCCCAGACGTACGTAGCGCCAATCCAATTACGCGGCACGAAGTGGAAGCGCAGGGGCGGCCTCGTCCGCGAGTTGGAATGTTCGAGTGGTTACGATCAGGGTTGCCGGATGGCCTGAAAAACGGTAAAGTCCTCGGACAAAGAAAAGGCCAAAAGGCGAATAACCCAATATATACTTGTATGTAAGTAGGTTCCGGGTTTGAAAT